GGTTGTAATTGGACCAAACCGATCCATTGAGTTTTGGGGAAATTTTGGTTGAATGGATCGCGCCCAAAGTTTCTTGTTCCGGCCACTATTAAAGCTCCATTTTGATCGTATTTTTTGAAGCGAAAAAGTCTTAAATATATTTTGTAAATTTTTGCACTGTTTGAAAGAGTAATATGAAGAGAGGTTTATATACTTCCCTGCTTTCAGTAAAAATTGCGCCAAATAAAGGACAAAATTGCGCCTAAAAATCTACGATCATATACTTATTACTTCCCACAATGACCGCAGCGTGGGACTTTACAGTGTTATTGTAGCTTTTTTGGCTAAGTTCTTTTTCCCTTTTTTGCGGACGTAACGGCGTCGATTAAAAAAAATAACAAATAAACTGAAATAAATGACAAGGCGGCCATGTTGGGGGTCAAAAAAAAAAGAAAAAGAACCCATGAAAATAGAGTTTAGTTCCCATCTTGACCAAATGGGTGACGTCACGTGCAAACCAGCAATAGAATGGTAAGGCCCGGTTCAGTCGCTGCTCCACTCATATGGCATGCCGAACAAACTGATGAATTAACTACGGCAAGAGAGCGGCAGGTACGGCAGTTTTAGTTAGGTGCGGCAAAAGCGTCTGATGTACCAAAAGTTCGACGGAGTCTGTCGAACTTTTGTCGAACTTAACTTTTGCTCGACACACGGTGTGCCGTCTATCAGATGTCGCGCCAGTGTTGCTCCAAAGTCGAACTTACTCAGTCAGGTTCGTCACATGAAAAGTACGGCGTCTGAACCAGACCTAACTCGAAAAACGTGGGTTTGTCGTTTTTTCTTCCCGTTTGGCCTTCAGGAGTCGAATTTTTCAGAGTTTCTGGGTACAGTTTATCGAACTGAGGTTACGTATGACGGTGAAATAAGACAAAGCGGTACATTGGTGGTGTTCCGCTAGCCTTTCCATCGGCAATTTCGGTCATTTTATTTAGCTTTATTTTTACCACTGATCTCGAAACTTTTTCGGCGCTTAGATTGGGCTCCGATTTTTTAGAAGTAAAGTCTCAGGCGCCGAATTGATAAAAACGCTTAAGTCTTAGCCTAGAAATTTGAAACCAGGATCTCGCAGTCTCGCAAAGTCTCGAATTTACCATTCCATTTCTCCTATTAAAATAGTATTTATTATACATCCAATAAGCAAGAGACTATTTTCTTGCGGTACCAAAGCGGAAACACCCGGGGCTAGATGGGCCCATTTTGTATGCTTGGGTAGCAAATCAGAACACGGAACTTTCGCTTCATCTTGGCCGGTCGCATAACTAGCCTTAGAGCTGACCCTTTAGTTTGGCTTCCTTGTCAACACTGCTGACAACGTTTATAATCTGCATGAAATACAGTATTCAAAGGTCAGGGCCAAGTGGACAAAAAGAGTATGTACACGGAAATCAAAGCGTGTACATGAGTACAGTGTTTGCTACATTCTGTAAAAAGTTTATATAAAATCCTTATGATAGGACTACCCTTAATTGCTGTTGTAGAAACAGCAGCAAATTAAATGTAAGGAGAGATTTTCCGTGTGGCATAAACTGCCACTTATCTTCGTAAGTAGTTTTAAGAAGGCTTCTAAACGGAAGGGCATCCGAGGAGGCTTAATTATATACCCGGAAGAGAAAAAGCGCTTTGAAGGGTGCCGCTGTGAAGGGTATGTTTTTCAAGCAGTTTACTCTAGGATAGGGTATATAAATCAGAGCGTTTGGGTCTAGAATAGGGTATCATTTTTCAGAAAACTGATCAGTTGGTTGATAATTTTATGTAGACTAGGGATTGTTGTATAAGGTTTTGTTTTGGCTAGACTGTGCTAGTGACCTCAGTAGTTTCTGGAAAACAGCTACTCTAGGATAAGGGGGATTTGGGGAGTTTACTCGAGCATAGGGTAGCAAAATTCAGCTGAACTAGCTATGGTATAGGTTAAGGGTTCCGGGTCCTAGCGGCGCATACCCACCCAGAAATTCCTAAAGTACCCCCCCCCCCCGGGGAAACAAGCTACAGCGGTGCTGATCAAAATACGTTTTGTACTTACTGGTTTTAAATTGTTTTTAATTATTCTTCAAAATGCCAAAATAAGTTGAATTTAGAGGGGAAAACTGACTGAATTTGCATTGGGATGTTCACCTAAGCCAACAGTGTATCGAAATTCAGCAAACAAAATAATTGCTGCTAAAATAAAATTATTTGTTTTCCGAATAATTTATCGTTCTCACTGTCACGCACCAAAAAATAAATTGGAAACCTTCCAGTGGAAGAAGTGAAGTGAAATGTTATAAAAGACTAATATATAAACAGTTTGTCCAAGTCTCAGGTGTTTGTGGCCCAAAGTTTCTGAGTTATTTGCCGAAACGTTTCACGCTCCTTTGTAGAGCTTTGTATGGAGACGCCATATTGGTGCACCGTTTTGGTGTACCGTTTTGGTGCACCAATATGGCCGCCGGAAATCAACAAAAAAATCTGGAGTTCACTTTTTCTATAAAAGCGCTTTCTTTTCACTCGAGAACTAGCATACGCGCACATAAACATATCTTCTAATTCTTGAAGTGGTTATACTGCTGAAAATCAAGAGGACAGACTTTTTCTTCAACAAGACAGCATTCTTATTTTGGTGTCACGTACAGTGAAAACTCGGAATTCAAATTGCTGTATTTTCGAAATGAAACATGCTACAGGACTGGAAACGTGTACAAAGATTTATTTTCTATTTGTCTTCAACCTAGTGTAAATTCTTCATAAATTCATATATTTGATGCTTGCTCTTTGAAAAGAATAAGCTAGGAGTTCAAAGACACTATTCCTTAAATCTGGAGTGCAAAGAAGTCCTTGATCAGCTTTTAGAAAACCTTGATATTCCCATACATCGTCTGTAATTCGACAGTGTATCAAAATTACAGTAAATGTATGGAAAATTGAGGTTTCCTAAAAATTGATCACGGACTTCTTTGCACTCCAGATTTAAGGTTTCTTTGGACTCCTAAGTTATCCACTTTTATGGGGCTTTTCTGGGATAATGAAACAAAATTGAAATGGAACATAACACGTTTAAAAATCCTAGCCGGTAGAAGGTGATCCAGTTGGCTTTATTTTTTTTTTTATTAGTAGTAAACTTATTTTGCCTTTGCCCTCTTTAATTTTTTGTTTAGTACTGATTTTCCAAGTACTTGGTTGAGTCTTATGGCCAGCGGCCTTAATTTTACTAAATGTAAAAAGCGTCCTCAAAGAGTAGCGTGGTACATACATACATACATACAATTCGTTATTTAAACACAATAGGATTTAAAGCTCAAAACTTGTGAGGTCTTGTAAAAATAATTACAAATGAATATAGAACTATTAAAAATAGGGATAGCGTTACTAACAAAATACAACTACAATAAGAACTCTGAAAATATACGTAAGATGCTAAAAAGACATGATATGAAATTGAATTTGACATTAGTCACCTCTAAGTAAACTGACCACAGCATTTAAAACATATAATACTGAGTTAAAAAACATTTAAAATCTTGGTAGTGCCTGGGCAGCGACTGGACCGACTGTGCGCTAAAATCAACTTCCTTAAAATAGGAATCTTTTCTTCACTTTGAGATGAAAAACAGTAAACTGGCCTGTAAAATGAGTCGAGACAGCGTTCCAAAGAATAGCATCTCTATAGCTAATAGGGTTTTTAAGTAACTGCGAGTTAAAACGTGGGACGATTATGTTATTACTCCGTCTGAAGTTGTATGCAGTGCAAGGTTTATTTTGTTAATTGACAGAACCTCCAACTTCGGTTCCATAGTCATACAGTTAATTCTCGATGATTCTCTTGATTATTTCACAGTGTTATTACTTCAAACACGTTGGCTTGCGATTGTGCCTTGAAAACGCTGGTGGGATGGAAAGAAACTTCACCCGCACACTCTAGAAGTCTGACATTACAGGGATTCTGTTCTTCTCCTAAGCACTTAGTAGGGAGATCTATAAATGATCTGTCTTCCGAGGAGATTCCGTGTGGTAGGTGAACTTTGCTATTTGCAATCAATTACTGTAAAGTGCGATGCTTGAACAGCCTCTGTGAAACTAACGGCAGTGCAGTTTAGCGCTTTTTTGATTTTCGTGGAAGAATTAAGCAGTGCCTTGGCACTTGCGTAATTGGCAGCATTCTCTATTTCATCGGGTACGGTAGTATTCTATTGACAACGCACTCGCACTTTTCAGGTTAATATTTAAAATTTTGCATCAGAAAAATATGTTGAGCGAAACGACAGCCATGAGTTCCATGAAATTGTGCACCAGAAACCTAAGCATACTTTTTGTCCAACAAAAGAAATGTGTATCTTCTTAGTAAGTGCGCGAATTTTCTTCGATTTAGTTGAGTCTCGTAGGCTTTTTCATCCGATTTGAATTTGCATCTGATTCACAGCCGCACCATGGAGGCCTGGGGCAAGTCAAGTTCTGACGTCAATGTAGAAGGGCACATTTTGCACCGTCTGTCTGTGACTTTAACTGCGTTCTTTTTTCTACCTGAGACGTTACCAAATAAATTCTGAAAATGGGAATTCGGTTTGCTCTTTTTGTCGGAGTTACTGGAAAGGTTGCTTCCTGGCTGGGCGTTTTTCTTAGTTTTCCAGTTCTTCATCATTATACAGTATTTATATTTCATTTCTAGGTGCCGCCTTTAAGGAAGAAGTTCTGATCCGAAAGAGACGAGCTGGTAAGAGTTACTTTAGAAACTGTAGTCTGCGAGCAAGCTCTCGGGGGCGCTGTGGCGGCGAGACGAAAAATGAGCCCGCCGCTGTCAGAGCGCCCCGCGGGCTATAGAAACTGATGAAATAATTTCAAGCAGGAGTCCTTTTTTCGGCGCCTCTTTACTACGAGCCGGATCCAAAAAAGGTTAATAATTCCTTTAGGTTCCGTAGGAAGGTTATTCGTTTCTTTTTGGGTTGAGGTTCAGTTTAAATTCGGTCAGTAACCATAAAATATTTCATATTGCAGTTGGTGGAGGGAACAATGAAACGGAGCCAGCTAAAAACCAAACTTACACGCCAGGTAATACCGAATTTTTTCAATGGATACGTTTGTAAACTTCTTTTTTTAAAATTTCCAGCTGCCAAGCGGCTTCCTGGGTTCCGCACCACGATTTTTCTCTAAGAATCACACTCGCCGCAGTCTTTGTTACCTTCATTTTGCTGAGAGGAGCAGTTCTGTCAGTTTAGCATTTGCCGCTTTCGCATGTCGCATAATGGCAGCGTGTCTGCCCCAGTCATTGTTTCCAGTTTCTCCTAGGTATTACACACGTCCCAAGAGAAATTAATAACAATGCAAAATCAATTTTGAGGGAAAACAAGGTGTATTGTAGGCAGTGCAATAGTGGCGAATTGACTTTGGTTTTTCTATGATTGTGGCGTTTTTAAATTGTTAAAACTTCAGGAGGAATCGTGGTCATCTTTAATTGTTTTAAGTTCTGCCGCGTGGTTTGACTACACTTGCTTTCATACAAAAATTTCCGTTGAACCATTCTTTTCCAATTTATTGCATTAAATTATTAACAAGAAGTTTTTGTTCACTGATTTTCCAATGCTAGTCTTAATGCGAGGAGTAGAAAGGTACTCAGCCTGATCATGAACTAAAATTTGTTTAGGGCCATCCTTAAGTAGATGTCAATTTGTATTTAGGTGCTCCTGTGTTTCCATGTGATTTTGAAGAAGGATTTTGCCAGTGGTTTCAATTAATAGATGATGAATTTCACTGGAAAAGGCAAAAAGGACCTACACCTTCCTCATACACTGGTCCTGATGTTGATCACACTACAGCAACAGGTCAGTAACGGGGTTACTCCGTTAGGGGTGTGTGTGCGTGTGTGTGTGTGTGTGTATGTGTAAATTATTCGGATAAAGTCGATATACATAGGACTGTATAAGACTCCAAATAAAACATTGTCTTGGGTGTGTGTGTGTGTGTGTGTGTGTGTGTGTGTGTGTGTGGGGGGGTTAGCATACCAACACACTACTCTCTTCTTACCTGAGTCTCCCCCGCCCCCTTCCCGCCTCAAACGATCTAAAATCCCAGCTGCTCCACCATTGAGTGAAATGAATGTCTCAATGGTTTACCGCCAACATGTAACGGGAATTAGCGTGGTGGGTGTCCTGGCATACCTTCCTTACCCCAGAAACACAACCACCTTCTTGCGTTAGTCCCTTCCCGCCTTTAGAAGGTCTAAAATCGTAGTCGATCCTCCTCTGAGTAAAATGAATGCCTCAGTGGTGTACCGTCAAAATGTAGTTGTTTGGTATGGAATGATAAAGTTCTCACTAACAGATTGGCTTGTTTTTTTACCCAGTCAATGGAAGTTATTTATATATCGAGACGTCCCTCCCACGAAGACCTCTCCATTCCGCGCGGTTGGCCAGCCCAACTTTAGCTGCAGTGAACCCTAACTCCACTTGCGAAGTAAGTGTAACGATCTTTGTGGAAAAATGACCGCCCTTCGTTTGAAACAGGATATAAGAGACTTGAAAATGGCTTTATTTATTTTTGTGTGCCTGTAAACTTTTTGTTATTATTTGTGAGTCTGGATTACTGACTGAGATGACAATGGGCTAAATTATTTACAAATTTATTGTTTGTCATGTTTTTCATTTCGCTCTTTTTTCTGCTCATTTCGTATTTTACCTTAGGGAGACTATTGAGACTATTAAGTGATTTTTCTTAACAAATCTCGGAAACTTAATAAAACAAGAAGCAAATAACAGTTTAACATCATCGATCTTATGGGTTAATATTTCGCCCGTGTCCTTGCTTAATGGAACTCTCTCACTGAAGACCTACCGTACATATTTGATAAAACAAAATTTTTAGCGTTTCCGATACGGTGTTTATTCGAAGGCGGCCGTTGTCTTTTAAAATCACATTTCTTAAGCCCCAGAAATAATATACTTGATTACCAAGTTTTTCTTCTCGAATTATCTCCGCATTCTTCTGATTCGGTGCGACGTTTATTCGAGAGCAGTTTTTTTTGGTTCCGTCTGCAGCGTTTAATCGAGTAAATACAATGCTTTAAAATGGGTCTTTCGCCACTAGTGGAGTGTAGTCATTCACTTGTTTTTCTATTATTATTTCTCAGATGGAAATATATATTCACATGAAAGGCGGTGATATCGGAACAATCAACATCTACCAAGCGCCAGTTCAAGGTTTTGCAGTGAAGAAGTTTTCTCTTTCGACGCATCAGGGTTCAGAATGGTTCAAGAGACAGATACAGTTTGATAGTGACAAAGAATTTCAGGTTTGTATGATGACTTGACTGAAGGAAAAGATACAATCAAACCCTGTTAATAAGGACACTAAGGAGGCCATAGAAAGTGTCCGTATCAACGGGATGTTCGTATACAGTGGAGAATTCACCGGAACCTTGCTTCCCCTCCCCTAGCCTCACACGCAGGCGTTTTTAGGGGAGCTCGTGTTTCGTCCCTCCCCACATACTAGCTCCCCTAAAAAGGCCCACGTGGGAGGCTACCCCTCCCCCTCCTCTTTATGTGCCTGCCACGCAGGCTGGAAAAGATACCCCAAAACACTGCTCAACCATCTCTAAGACGGACCCTGCGGGACCGTCCTTGTCTTTCCGTCCTAGAGAGGTGCTCGTCTTATAGAGCGGTCCTTTAAGGGAGAGTTGACTGTAAGTGTTTGTATATTTCCATATAGGTGATTATTGAAGGTATTCGTGGTAATTATTACCAAGGAGACATCGCTATTGACGATATATCGTTTACACCGGGCTGCCGGAGACTGGGTAAGATAGGCACGCTGCTTTTGTTTCATGTACTCGCGACTAACAACACCCGATGAGAGAAACATCATTTTTGAACAGGAGAAGAATACAGCTTTGTTCTTATACAAGAAACTGGGCAGTTTAAGAGGTAGACAATCGGAGACTAAGCGGGGAAGGGGAAGGGGATTAACAGATGTGCGAAACCGTTGGCACTGAACGTCCTGACCGCCGAACCTGTTCTAGGAGCGGCAAAATAAAAAGAAGCATTAATAGCAAACTACAGCTGTTTATATTGACTAGGTGTGAGGCTCAGCTGGCAGCCGTCTTGACCGAACAAGCCTGCTCAATGAAAGATTGGTTATACGGCCAAAAAAATCTTTTCTTGTGAGACAAATCGGGCGATCCCGAGCGGTTATGACAGACTTATCCTTCCCGCTCGGGCAGCTAATGAGGACACATTATTCGCCTTATCGTACCCACCCGCGCAGCCAGTCATACAATCATTCCCGGTCGCAGATATTAGAGAAGCTTTCGTGGGCGTCTGCTTAGTACAAATTTAACTGTAAATTCCTCTTCAACCAGCGAAGAGGAAATATCGTGTACCTGCGCGAAAATGCCGGAAAGTGAGCATATTTATTTCTGATTTTGTTTAGCTCCTTCTTATGTACGTCTGACCGGAGGCTCATTGTTCAATAACGGCCGAGTGGAAATATATCATCAAGGGGCTTGGGGTCCGGTTTGCCGAGAGGGCTGGAGCCAAGAAGATTCATCAGTGGCTTGCCGAGAGCTGGGTTTTAATAAATCATTACCTCTTGGAAATGCAGGTAACAGCATTGCCACTCCGCTGTCGTTATTCGTAACTTGTTTTGACCTGTTCAAGTTTGTAGTTCAATAAAGTTTCAGTTTATTTCCTGGGGCCTGATTATAGTGTTACAGTGCTTTCACTAAGACTGAAGTTTTAACGCTTTTAAAATAAGCAAATAAAACTCCGAGTTAACGAAAGAAAATGGACTGACTGGGGAGCTATATCCCGCATAACCATTCTTTTTTAGGCCTTTGGGCGAAAAGTTTTAACAAAAATTTCCCCCAAAGCTGGTATGCTTGTGCCTTGCGATCGAACTTTTGAATAAACATTTGATTGAATTTCTAGTACTAGAAAGCTTATTGAATGTAAAAATCAATAATTTAATTTTGTGACATAATCGAGTTAGTATGGGCACATCTAGCTTGACTATACTTCTTTACGTACACTGATGCTCTTCATTGGTTTTCTCTAGGTTTACCCCTAAACAAAACATTTATAAGTACTGGACTGTACAATGTTAGCTGTGTTGGAAATGAGACCTCAATCAAAAATTGTCCTTCAGGAGTGTGGTCGAACAATATCTCATGTCCAAGTAATTCTTCAGCCTTAGTTGGTTGTTCAGGTAGGGAAAATGTCTGTTTTTTCTTGCGTTGGCGGTGTTTTTCTTGAAAATATAATTAACAATCCCGCCATCAAGTAAAAGCCATTGTAAGCGTATTTCATATTTAATTTATTAGTTTACATATGGCTTAACGATGAAGAACTTCTTTTGTGTTATACAGAAGAAGTCAGAAAAATCAAAGCCTCTTACCTGTTATTATTATTATTATTATTATTATTATTATTTGCTTGGAAATACTTGTAAACGTTAATGCTTTGACTCTGAAAGTTTTGGTTAGTGTAGAACACGTCATTTTGTGATATTTTTTTCAGTTTTGAAAAACTCCGAATAAAAACTCATTTTCATGTTAATGGCTTCGCAATTAGCCTCGCTTTGAAACAGAGGCTTGGGTCAACCCAGAAATGGCCCATAATAGTCACATTTAAGGCCTTTATGTATGAAAGCATTCGATTGAAAAGTATTGTTGTATGAAAGCATTCGATTGAAAAGTATTGTTTAGCTATTTTCTGTCACCTGATGTGAACTGAATGGACCCGTCTTTAGACAGGGATGAATGCGAGGAAAAAGACTACAACTTTAAAAAGATAGGCTTACTTTTCATGTCCTCAGAAAACGCCAAAAAAGTGTTATTTTTTCCCCTCGATGGATTCATTTAAGTCTTGTGTTGTGGGAATTATTTTTTCCAGAGAAATAAAGGGTCTTGCTTATAATTTAAACAAACTTATGACACCGCTTATAATCTCAACTCCACCGTGCGTCTGTTTTCAGGAATCCTTTCCGTGTGTCCTCTTAAAACTCACTTTTATTGTCCAGCGGACACCAGCAGTAACAAAAAGTGCATCTCACGGGCGCAGCTCTGTGACTTTACCAAAGACTGCTGGGATGGCTCAGATGAACTTAATTGTGATAACTACACTCGCTGCGATTTCAATGACACAAATCTCTGTGGCTGGCTCCAGGCCAAGAACGACCAGATGGACTGGATACGACATCGTAAAGGCACTCCTTCTCGTTATACAGGTAAAAAAAAAAAGAGTAATAAGGGCTTTTCTCCGTGAATACCGTCCGTTTTGAACATGGATCCAGCTTTTTGGCCCTCCAAATTAAGCGGAGTTTAACCTGTTATTAAATTTAAGCGAGACCAGTATAAACCAGCTTTTTTCAGAGTCTCGCAGAACTTGTGTAAAATTTGACTGAGTATATAATAAAGCGACGTAGCTTTCTACTAAGTCGAAAGAAGATTTGTTTAGGTGCATTGCATGTCACTCTTGATTCTGAGTCCTGCCTTCTCTTTCTTTGGACTCATATTATTTCTTTGATCCTGAGGTGATAACCAGCGTAGCAGGCGCTTGGAAGTAGTGGGCCCAAGAAAGAACGGGCGCGCGAGAGGGAGACACGCACTCCCGTTTTTCTTGCGCCCATTACTTCAAGCGTCTGCTACGCAGGCTAGAGGTGATTCATACAATCGATTTTGTATCTGTTGTTAATATTTATAATAAATATTTCAATCGTTGTTGATTTTGTAATCGTAGGTCCTTCTACTGATCACCTTGGCAGTCCTTATTCTTACTATTTGTACATAGAGGTGTCCGGTCGTCAAGGAGGCGAAAAAGCCAGGATACTCGCCACTCCACGATTCCAAGGCAAGTACGGTGAAACCCCTCTCCATGGACACCTGCTTAAAACGGACACCCTTATACAGCTGACTCTCTCCTAACGGACACCTCTATAGGACCGACGTCTCAGCAAATCGGACACCTAGAGTTACTACAGATACAGTAGTAAATTTGAGTTTGATCAGTTTGACCCTTGAAACAATACTTGAATATAATTTTATTCTGGGACTTTGATGAATGATCGTGAGTTTTCTTAATTAGGGTGACCTTTTTACAGGGAGTAGTAAGATTCTAAATAGATCTGTGGAACGCTCAACGTAACGTGTTCCCACGATACGCTGGAATAGAGAATGACTCATTAGCCACGACACGTGGCGCTTTATTTTGTCACATTGGACCTTGCAGCTCATATGTCGCTCACGTTTTGCCCTTCTTGTTTATTCCCCTCTGTTTTACAGGGGACAACAACGGTCTCTGTAAAGTGCGGTTCTATTACCATATGTACGGACCCGGAATTGGAACTCTCCGAGTGTTAGCCGCTGACCGGTACTCCTCTCGTACCTTGTGGAGCAAGTCGTTTTCACAAAACGTGAATTGGACAAGAGCGGAAGTACAACTAGCCAACATGTCCTCTTCTTTTATTGTAAGTTTGTACTTGTTTAGCAAAAGCTGTGGAATCGCAAGGGCGATAACTTCAGCCTGGTTGTCATCTTTTTTTGATTGCCACGGGCACTGAAAAAAATACAATACAATGTAATACAACAACTTTTATATAACATGATGAGGATTAAAGCTGGGTAGCTTGCGGGGTGTTGTATAATATAGAGTAACTATTTCGTTAAAAGGAATATATGGCTAGACTTGAAAAAATAAAAAAAAAATTACACAAATATGTGGACCAAACTTAACGCTGGTACATTGTTTCAACGATAAAAAGAACAAAACTTTGCAAATTCCTGCTTTTACTGGGCGCGGTTACATTTCCCTAGACAGTCAAAGTGGTCTTTTCTTTTCTTCTAGGAACCGGGCCTAAAGGTTTTTTGTTCTTTTAGAAAAAAGAATCATGCATCTGCTAATGATTTAATTTGTTTCATTTTGAATGGAAATGTATGAAGTGTTTGACTAACAAGACCAGAATTCATTTGGTTTTTTTCTCAGTTCATATTTAAATTTGGTAATCCCAGCGAGGTTTAAATAAAAAAGGCCCCAATTTGCACAAGAAAGCAAAACCCTGAAGCATTTTGCTAGTAGTAGTAAAATGACGCCATCTTACAAATGGTCTATTGATGTGAAGACAGAGGATCAAACGTCTTTGATATGGATCGTTTATCGTCAGCCACAAGGACCAGAGATTGTGCTTTTGTCGTGTTAAGGCGTTTGTTATTTCATCAGGTGATGTTTGAAGGCGAGCATGGCGGAAGGTATCCATTTGGTGACATTGCAATCGATGATGTGTCCTTTTCTCCTGAGTGCAGACCCTCGCGTCATGGTAGGTTGATGAGCCATCCGTCTTTTATGTCGTAGTCTCCGTATGTTTAAGAAATTAAAAGGCCTGTCAAGATTGCTTTAAAAACTTGAGTATCTGTTTAAAGTTACTAGAAAACGTTCTTGTAAAAACTTGAGCAAGTATCCCTTCTCTTTCGTGTGAACAATTCTTTTCGTTTGCATTCATCATGACCATTATCAAGATGGGGAGGTTATTGGAACACACCACAATACTCGGCAGACAATCGGAACAAAACCGGTATGTCAGGTCAAATGTCGACTTAAGCGCTAAAAACTCATCTCAGGGTAGCCATGGCAATGATAGCTTCCGCCCCTTTTTCCTTGGCCTCCTCCCTTGATGGCGAAATTTCAAGCCGCATTGTTGCGTAACTTCCCTCTATTCCTTCCCCTTCCCGCTCTTTTATAACTTCCACCTTGCGCCCTTTCCTCGCCCCCAAGTATTAAGAAAGGCTTGTTAATTGAGAAAAACTCGTGGATACTTTTTTTTAGTATATGGTGGCTTGGGTGTGCGATTTTAAACCCCTGCCCATTTGCTCCTTTAAATGACTTCCGACTGTTAAATATCTTATTTTCGATTTTAGAAAACGTCTCTTGCAAGGCAGGAACTTTACATTGTGGTAGTGGAGAATGTGTTCCGTTATCTCTTCAATGTGACTTTAACGACGACTGTTTTGACGGAACTGACGAGATTGACTGCGGTAAGAAGTTGTTACATCATTTGTGTGTTATTTCAACGTTCTCTACAATTGTACGCGAGCTCAGATATTGAAAGAGACGGGAAGAACATTGATAATCTGCTGAAAGACAGCGGGACTCAAAGGTGAAACATGGCCGTTTTTATGCTAGAGACGTAAAAGTCGTCTAGACGCTTTATTGTCTGAGACATTAAAGTCGTCTGCAGTAAAAACGGGACGCATAAAAATAGTCGAAAAAATTGAAAAAAAAAAAGCCAAAACACTGCCTCTGCTTAGTCGTTTGTGGAAGAATTGGACATAAGAATTGACCCGTTTTTACGGCGTCCCGTTTTTATACCGGACGCACTAAGCGTCTGAGACGTTGAAGTCGTCCTTTAAGTGCGTCTGAACGACGCCCTTAAAAGAGGGCGTTAATGTCGTCTTGTTAACTGTTTTTACGCTAACGTCTCTAGCATAAAAAAGGCCAGTAAAGAGGAATTTCTCCTTCCCAACATCTCTTTCCAATCCTTGCGTAACGAGACTAGTTGTATTACGATAATTCTTGGTGCTCGACATAGAAACGTGAGACTTTTTAGTTTTGTCCGTGGCTTCAAAACCAAATTATTATCGTTACTGTTATTTTGTTTTGCAGGGCTCGATACTCCAGGGCGTTGTGATTTTGAGGCGGATCTGTGCCACTGGCAAAATATGACTGATGATAAATTTGACTGGCAAAGACACTCTGGAAATACTCCTTCCGTAGCCACTGGACCTATGTATGATCACACCGTTGGTTTTGGCGGCTTAGGTACGTTTCGTTTCATACTACGCTTTCTGACGAATACATGTCATCGAGTCCACACTAATTCGGACATTTTTGAAACTTTGTTTACCTGGCATCGTGTGGACATGGCTTTAAACTACCGTTAAGAACGGTTTAAAAAAGATATGGTTTCGGACAGCGGATTTAGTGGTTTCAGGTGGACGGACGGCCGATTCGTTTACAAATAGATCTGATGTGGTTTGATGAACATCCGAGTTCGTGTGGACAGGCTGTGAGTGTTAGGCCCCTTCCACACCATTTTTGAAACCGTACATTTGTTTACCCAGATTTCGTTTGAAAAAGAGTCTCAAACCACTCTGGAGATCGGTTTGAAATATGCGGTTTTGGTGGACGAATTCACTGGATTCATTTGGACGGAGGCCGGTTCGTTTAAAAATGTATGCGATTTCAAAAGTATCCGAATTCGTGTGGTGAATGGGACCTGAGTGTTCAAACACATACAGCGGATTGGTGAAAACGGCAATGAATTTTTCTGTTCACTTAAAAAATATGTACGGTTTCAGGAAAGGTCATCACTAGACTTCTTCGTAGCTCAATGTTTAGAGCATCCGACTATTGTCTGGAAAGGTCGTGGGTTCAATTCCCATCTAGAACTCCGAATGTTTTTTGAGTTCTTCTCTCCACACATATTCTATTTATTAAGAGAGAAAAAAGGCGTTTATTTGGTCTTAAAGTAACTTTGGTCAGGATTACTATTACTACTACTACTTCTACTACTTTATTTCATTACAGGACATTATTTGTACATCGAAGCGTCTTCTCCGAGAGTATATGGCGATAAAGCACGGCTTATCAGTCCTCAATTTATGTGGAAGAATGCAGTTAATTGTGCTGTAAGTATCCTCCGCTCGAAATCTTGATACGGTGATTTATTTGTTTTGTTCGATTGACTCTTTTTAAATAGCTTAATTTTTTTTTTACATCAATTGAATGCCATAAATACACTCTTTTTTCTATAACAATCTATTTTATGAGAATATCGAGGCTGAAATTTGCGAAATTTTAAGAATTTTTTAAGAATAAACCCCAGGCTGAGATTTTGAATAGGATATAATTTTGTGTGTTCAAAAACTGTAAATACATTACAATTATATGTTTTCAACTTATTCCATTCTCTAAACGACAAAACTTGCCACCAAAACGAACAACCTGCACTAACTATAATTGATACCCCAAGATATTCTAAAACGGAAATGTTATAAGCTATGATCTAAGAATAATACAAGAATATTTTCAGCCTAAAATCGGTGGAAAAATTGGAATATTCAGCCTGGGCCGGAAACAACATTCTTATATATATATAAAAAGTGTGTAATTCACCAGTTTTGTTATTAAACATTTTATTTAGGCATCAAAAACTGTTTCGTTGCAATGTATGGCAAGTATGGACATCGATTGATGAAGCCATCGTTTTTATGCTACACCTGGAAAAATCACCACAAAATTTATTATGGTTTATAGTGTTCCCAGATCAAATTTGTTTGAAATGTTCTTCGTAACTCTAACTGGTAAAATAGCCATATCCTCGTGACGGAGCCCCTTTTAAGAATCTGTGCTGGAAAGTCAGCGTACAAGTCACATCATCACCGCTATATTAGATGAAACATTTGTGTGTAAACTTTGCGGTGCTGTGTCGGGTGATACAAAACTTCAGGGTTCATTTAAACCCTCTCATTCGTAGACAAAGTTATGGCAAAATTATTTATCACTTTTAACTTTAAAATCTGTAGACAAAATCCTGTGATTTTACCATTCCAATGAAACTTCTCTGACACCATTTTTACATAATACTATCTGTTTCTAAGAATTATGCAAAAAGAAGTTTGATTTTGTTTGTGCATCTTTTACTTTACGAGTTCAAGGGTTAAACTGGAAATTTCCTTTCTTTTTAGCTCCGGTTTTATTATCATATGAAAGGATTCTTGGGTTACCACACAATAGGAAGACTGCGTGTGCGTCTAAAGAACTCGATCACGGGTGTCGAGTCTGCTCCTTTGTGGGAACGATCTGGTCACCAAGGAGACCAATGGATCCGAGCTGATGTTGCCATAAATACGTCCTGGCCTGTGACCCAGGTAGGGTCGTTTTTTCTTCGATAAGTTCAATTAATTTTACCCCCAGCTGAGTTGGACTTCGGACCTCAAAGTGAACGGCTCCAACTGCGTGTTCTTCATTATTTCCTAAGAGGTTAAGCAGATTTATAGCATCATCCCGACCCAAATTTCTCCTCCATCTCGTTATCCTCATCGTTATTTTCGACGTCCCGTGGATCTCGCCCCTATTTTGCCTGGAAATCCCGATCCGGGCTTAAAATAAGGCAAATCCCGAATCCCGTAAAACCTGTTGTGGACCTTCAACGTGACGACAGTGACCAAGTGCAGATCTAAAAGCCGACTTGACCAAACCGAGAGTGAAAAACTGATCACCGGAAGTCGCGTTCAGTCCTTACCGCTCGCTTAGTATTTTAAATCTGCCTATTTTCAACGCCTAGATGTAAAAAGTGTAAGAGAATTGTTGGGGGTAAATCCTGTAATGTCCGTATTAATTTATGTTCTTCGAACCTGGACGCTTGCCTTCCTACCCATGGTTTGCAGTTTTAAGTTCCAATTTGATCAATCCTTTTTCCGCCAGGTTATTTTTGAAGCCGTGAGAGGACGGACATACCACGGAGACATTTCAATCGATGACATTTCTTTCTCGCCAGAGTGCTACGTGTCAGAAGGTGAGAGAAACTGTTTTGTTCTCATTCTCACTCTGGCGTCAGTGATTTAGTAGGATTTGATACAGCTGTTGATACTTTCGTGAGCTTTCATGTATTTCCTGACATGCCCTAAAACTTAAAAACTCTCTCTGTCTCAACCGGCCTATGGTGTTTACATATCTCAACTGGTGAGGTATGGCAAGATTTTGCACGTCAAAGGTGGACTTTGTTGATGGACTTTGCCGACTTTCTTCGTGTCTAAATCAACAAGGCTTTAAATCCACTCTACTTCTCAAATCCTTAAACAAGTTCTTCAAGCGCCATGGGGTTATCATCGATACGTATCAAACTACACTGCGGGAGATGAGACTGGCACTCAATGGCTGAATGGTGTTGCCATATCCTTTGTTAATTTAATCGTTTTACTTTCCTTTCAGTCATTGTAGGTTATGTGTGCACACGCGCTATTTAAATATGCGCGCGCTTTGTTCACGTATTTTGATTGACGTGTACATTTAGTTCGTTATTTAAACCTTTTCCCACTCATACATTTTGTCAGTAACCGTGCTCACATTGTGAGTGGCTTCTCCTAAAATTTTCTACAATTGGTATAGGATTTAATAGAGCCCAAATCATTTGTGGAATTGCACACATTTTAGGAATCCTACTGACGAACAGTTACGACTTTTTAGATATTTCGAGCATTTTGCTGCTGGTTTTCCGTTAAAGTGAAGTTTTGTCGGCTAAACATTGCGTCTTTGTTGTGGTCTTGTTGAGACTATATCTATCGGACGTTGTCTTGATCCGATGTCCAGTTATTATCGAAATGAGCCAGGCCAAATGACCCGCCTTTTATCCCCATGAAAACAAGGGCTTGGGATAGTGCATTGACTACGATTCCCATCACGCGTGACCCATGTTAATGCTTCTCAGCTCATTACATATAGAGGAAGGCACCTTTTAGTAAGGAGGAAGGCATTTGTTAGTACGCATATTAATAAAGGGAAGGCAATGAAAAGGCACTTGCTAGGTACTGACTAGGCATAAATTTGGAGTAAAAACTACATAGTGTACTACTTCCCTCCCTGCCAAGTTAAAGTAGAGTCTGATCCAGCAAAACTGATCAGTGGCAATTTAAAATAATCTCCTTCCCTCGAATAATCACCCCCTTTTTGTGCAAAAAAATAATAATCAACCCCGGCTATTATTCGAGGAAACCCGCTACTTCAATCTTTAAGTCTTACCGATTTCTTCATTTTGAAGGTACAGATGGGATATTTGCTTCAAGACTAAAACTGCCCGGATTAAATGAGTTTTATCGAGACCCCTTTTGTATCTATGATTTCCTTTCCCGTTGTTGTCGTCTTCAAAATTTGAACTTTTTTTCTCCTTTTCGACTCCTTTTATCGACGCTGATTGCTAACTGGATGTTTTCTTACTTAGCTGTCCACATCTACAAAAACTATGATGTTCGCTTGGTAGATGGCGTAAAGGGCTCTTTTGAGGGACGCGTAGAGGTGTACCGTGTAGGATCCTGGGGCACTATTTGTGATGACGAATGGGGGCTCAGCGATGCCAACGTGGTGTGTAAGCAGCTGGGGTACGCAAGCGCAATAAACGCTCATCGGAAGTCGTATTTCGGCGAAGGAACAGGACGAATCTGGCTGGATGACTTGGCATGTATGGGAAACGAGACCAACATTGGTCAATGCTTGCATAGGGGTTGGGGAAGCCATGACTGCACGCATAAACAAGATGCTGGTGTTGTATGTGACAAAGGTAAAGCAGACGCTTTCCAACATTTCATAATTGTCATTAGAGAGCCTAAGCAACCACGACGACAACTACGACGGTAAAGCGGGAAAACATTTTGTTTTATGAGTAAACAGCAACTCTGCACGTGCATTATGCTTTTTAGGCCATTGCATCAGTTTGTTTCTTTTTTTTACTTTTTAGATGGCGGCAGTGCAACTAGAGCAATAAGGCTTCTCCGTAACAACTCAAAACTCATTGGACAAGTCGAAATATATCACAGTGGCTCGTGGGAAGCGATCTGTTATGATACGTGGGATATCCATGACGCATCTGTGGCATGTCGACAGCTTGGTTACTCAGGCGCTACCGGAATCACACGCGAAACTCCCAGGGCCTCTCCTGTAAATGGCTTGAACAACTTGCGGTGCAAGGGTAACGAAAATACTTTGGGGGACTGTGTACGAGATTGGACATCGGGAAGTTGTGGCTACGGATTCGCCGGAGTTACCTGTTCTGGTATGGTTAACTTTTTATTTTTAACAAGCACAATCTTTTCTTTTTCTATTTTTCCTTTTTTTGCCACTTATACACGCAGCATTTTTTATAAAATACTTCATGGAAGGTCTGCGCGTACGATATTTACGCACGAGTTGTTGAGCGTCAGAAATCGTGAAATCCATTTATTTTGTACATTGTTCGTTGAGGAATTACGCTCGTCCAACAAAAAGACGTATTTATGTTATAGCCCAAGGAACTGCCGAAGGCAACATTCGTCTGCGTGGTGGTAGCTCTGAGAATGAAGGACGTGTTGAGGTCTTCCACCAAGGGGAATGGGGAACAGTTTGTGATGACAATTGGAAAGAAGAAAACGCTCGTGTTGTTTGCTATGAACTTGGTTTCACAAGCGTAAGGAAGGCTCTTCAGAGTTTTGGGCCTGGAAGCGGCCGTGTTTGGATGGATCAAGTGAACTGTAATGGCAGCGAATCCGCTTTTGTTGAATGCCCTAACTCTGGGTGGGGTAACACTGCGTGTACCCACCAAGAAGATGTTGGTGTGATATGCTCAGGTAAGTTTTTTGTCAAATTTGGCGTTAAACTGTAGCATGAGATACCGTGTAGCTTGCGAAATAACCCAAAAGAGAAATTCGCCGACTTCTCCGAGATATTTTAGTAAAAGCCCGGGGGGGGTACTCGCAGAAAAATTGGGTAGGGGTGTGCGGCCCGCTTCCCAAAACCCTTACCCTATTTATGACCAAAATCTGCGATTTTCCCTACCCTATTTATGACCAAACCAAAAATTTGATACCCTATTTATGACCTGACCCTTAAATCAATACCCTTTTTCAGACCTGCCTTATAATTATTTCCCTAGTTCAGACCAATGTTAAAGGCAATGTTTATCTGCTTTTATTAGGTTAGGAGGACATGATAAGGAAGTAGCTTCTTCTAAAAAAGTGCATTCAAGACTACAGTGTAAAAATCGTTACCCTATTTATGACCAAAATGGCGGCAAAATAGCCAAAATCGATACCCAATTTATGACCAAAACGGCTGAAAAACCCTACCCTTTGGGGCCGCACATACCTATATAGCCCATATTAGGGAGTACCCCCCCCGGGAGTAAAAGAAAATGACTATCATGGGGAAACACCTATCATTATACAAGATTCAACTGATTTTCCTCTCAAACTTTAAAGCTATACTTACTCCGTGTTTATGTAATAATATTAATTAACTGTCCCTCCTAGATTAGCTTTTGACACCTGCGGGCCAGCGTTATTCTTTATTTTAAGTTAAATTCTTGAAATAAAATTTTGTTGTTGTTGTTGTTTTTTAAACCAACACTGACTTTTTTGCTTGGATCAGTCTTACGCAACCGCCTTCCCAGGGTTCCCTCCTACCTGTCTCACTCAGCAGCATAGTAGAGAACCCTGGGAGCGAGGCTGGACAATAGACTGCGTTTAGTTTGTTATTTTGGTGAAGTTTTGTTATTTTGTGATTGGCCTTGACAATAATGAAAGGCAGCGACCTCGTGAAAAATAATCATAATCTGACCTGTACATAAAAACTGGAAAAGTGAAGAGAAGAAAGTAATTGAAGAGAACAATAAAACACTTTCTTTTTGCTTTTTATGGAACGTATGCTTCTGAAATGGTTGTAACCGTATTATAAACAGCAGTAAAATCGGCCATATTGTGTCGAGAATTTGTGCAGACTCAGTTTTCGTGAAAATACGTGACTTCATTTGAAAATAGTTTAAACACCATTAACCATGTGAAAGTAGTGTTTTGATGGTTTAGACGTTAGAATTAAACCTCGTTTTTACTATTTTGTTATCAGATGAGGCCTACATCGGATGTTACAAAGATACGGTCAATCACGTGATGACTCATGAACTGACTGCAGCAAGTAAGTGCTAAGAATTAACGAACGTGTACTTGATTTGGTCCGCTTCACTGAACACCCAGCGTGGCCGAGTAATCAACATGTCGGACTTTCGGCGATCCTGGGGTCGCGTCCCAGTAGCAGAGATTTTTTCTTGCAAATCCTGAGTTTACTTCCTCGTGCCTGGGAAGAGGGTGAGAGGATGGAGTGGGGGCGGGGGGGAGGTACAGCTTGGCCGAATGGTCAGCACGTCGCACTTGCTATCCACAGGCGGTCCCGGCTTCTAGCCCCTCTCCAACCACAAGCTTGACTTGTTTGTTTTGTCGTCCCAAATTCAAATCTACGGCCACGCTTGCAAATAACCAACTGGTTTTCTCCTGCAACTGGGGTTCCTGTTATGGGTTCTATTGGATTATTTTCTTCTATTCATTTGAGTGGAGTCCCTGCAGGACAGCTGGAAAGATAAGTGCACTTCCATTGTAAACGGACCGTTACCTTTACCTACATAGCCAACCGCCTGCCTCAGGCCAGTTGGTCAGTATTTTTAACCCTATTATTATTTGTTTGTGATTATTTGAGTATAGAGCATGTTTCTTTAAGACTTTAAAATGCTCCATTATCATTTGCTTTATTTGTAAAACGTAGCACACTGATAAATGTGAGAGACATTTCTTCTCGTTAATATTATTCAACTACTGAAAATCAATTCAATCGCTCTGCAATGGCTCTTCGACATCGTTAAGCAACATGTTCATTCTACAAATATTTCAAAACTACAGCGACAAGTTTTGCAGTGAATCACACATGAAGGTATTTGAGTTGCAGTCCCCTTAACTCTGACGCCATGGGATAAGACCCATAGATATCTCCAGTGGTGTACGTAAATCTTCAAACCAAGGTACATGAAACCACTGTAGGAGCTGTTTCCGGAAGGCGCGGACAGTCGCCATTATAGCTCTCTACAGAGAGAGCTCTCTTTCTGTTTCCTTCAACATGAATTGCGTGCCATTTACGGTAGTCCTTACTTCTTTTAGGTATGACTCCAGTAAAATGCATTCGTCGGTGTCAAAGCAAAGGATACCCGTACGCGGGTTTGGAATGGGCCAATGAATGCTATTGCGGGAGTCATGTGAGTAGCAGGCAACGGTTATATTTTTTAGAGTATATGGTCCATGCTCGTCTTGAACACAGAAATAGAACTCTAGGATAATAGATCCAGCTGTCTCAATCGAAGAATTTACTAGACACCCTATAACACCGTCTTACTTGTTGCTTAATTCACAAAAGTTCTATGTTGAAGAGATATTTCTCATTTCCCCTAGTTTGAACGATGTGAAGATCTTAAGTGCGTTGCGCACCACTGCCACAACCACCACCACCACCCACCATCATTATAAAGACTTTCTTAACGCGCCAAAAGCCTAACTTACATGGAGTGTAAACTAAATGTGGACACCTAACTTACTAACTGCTTAAAAAAATCAAACAAACAAATAAACAAACTTGGAAACCTAGCCCGCGCCATTAATTATTCTAAGAGTTACACTTGCCAGTTCCTGGGAGGTTCTCAATGTCCACTTTTCTCACCTGGTTCTTAAAAGAAGCAAGTGTTACAGAACTCGTAATGCGCATACTTAAGTTTGGAGAATATTACAGGACCAAGATATCTAATACTGTATTTCGCATACGTGGTAGTATTTATTCTTGGAATCATAAAATTGTCTGAATTTCTCAGTTTGTAACTTCGGTTGCTTAGATTAAAAATATCGGATATATGACTAGGGCATAAATTATACTTGACTTTGTACACTATTGTTGCTATCTCCTGCAGCCTTCCGTTTAGTAGGGCAGGGCTATTGGATAACAGATAATATTCTTACGTTAAGCATCTTACGATTGTTCCGCAAGGCAATAATGTACCGAACGTAGCTTGAAGGAGACGACTGGATTACACTTTCAACAATCGTTTGCTTTTTTTTTAGTATGACCGATACGGTAACGCAACATCCTGCACTCTTTCATGCTTTGGAGATGCTTCTAAAATTTGCGGAGGTCCTTGGGCGCTATCTGTCTACGACACAAGTGGGTAGCTTCGTTGTCTTACTTCTGCCGTTCATTTCATTATTTTCACCGTGCAAGGGCAGGGCAACACAGTAACGTCTACGGTTACTAATCGCTGCTGGTGGCGTAGCCCAAGACCTTGTTTACACTAGTCTTCCACGCAGGCGTTTTAGGGAGCTTCTATCTCGTCCCTCCCCACAAACGCCTGCTCAACTGGGGAGGGAAGAAATGCGAGCTCGCCTGGAAACACCTGCGTGGAAGGCTGCGTTTACACGAGTCCGGACAAATTTTTGAACCGACGAAATTTTTGCCTGCGCAACCCCTTCACACGGAATCGTTCAAATTCTGTTACAGATTTTTGTACTGTTTACACGAGTATATACTTTTCCGCGGGTCCCGTGTAAACGAAAGCAAGATCCGCGCAAAAATTTGTGCGGCCTCGTGTAAACGGGGACTGACAAAACAGCTCACATTTCTCGACGCCACTTTTGGTTTCTCCGTTTGAGAAACGAGCACAGATATTCCATACTGATGACGTGTCACTACCAAAATCTGAAACTCTCTTCTTTTAAATATACTTCATTCCAGGTCTGTTTCATTGTTTAAGAAGAATCTCAAAACTTTTCGAAACACTTTGTTAAGAGTAATTCTTTAGTTTATTAGTTTCACAGACTTTTTAGTTTATTAGGTTTTCATTCAGATTTTATCAGGCTTAGTTGTAAGCATATTCTTGATTTCGTAGTTTATATTCTTTTTAGTATAGTCTTAGATTAAGCATGTTTCTAGCGTATTATTTATCATTCTTAGTATTTAGCATATTAGTTTCACTGAATTTAGTCTTAAAAAATTATTCGAACAATTATTATTATTATTATTATTATTATTATTATTATTATTATTATTATTATCTGGGTTTGCTTGTGATTGGTCGTACCTCGAGGAAAATTTCCTTCAACCAATCAGAAGCACAACCTAGATCTGGGTAGTGACAATTCATTAGTATGGAAATTTCTGTGGTCGTTCCACAGACGTCAGTGGTGGCGTGTCAAATTATAGGGTGTTTTCTCAGGTTCCTGGCAAAAGGGACCCTTTTAATATATATAAAGCAATTTAAGTTTAAGCGGAAGTGAACTCGGTTACTGGAGAATGGCTAAGGAGTTCCGTGTCTTTGTCTGAGCTTTGGGGAAGAGAAATGAGTAGTTAAAGATTTCATTGTGTATTTTTTGGCGTAATTATTTGAAACGAGCTGGACAAGTCAAACCAAAGAGAATTTAAAGTAAGTATCAAGGTTATCCCGGGTGGAAGCCAGGAGCTACATGATGATTCTGGTTGTTAAATGCATACGATCTTTACACTAGCACTAAATGAATATCTCGTATCGTTTATCAGTCCTTGATGATATTGCCTTATATTCTCTTTTAGATCCAGCGATTATACCAACTGGGGTTCCAGGACACCCAGCTGTAACCCAAAGTAAATGTGGCCTCTTTTTTATATTGTTTTAACAACCCATTGGTTTTAGAAACTCCCGGTTCCCGATCCTCTTTCTATCATTTCAACTTGTACAACCACCAGGCCCTTAGTTTAGTTTTAGGTTTTTCTTACGCTTTGCAATGTCAACAGGAGCAAAACTAAAAACCATGAACAAATATCGTACGTACGGTGAAAGGTAAAAGGGGAACACTTAATTTTCTCCTAGCGTTAAACAAAAACTATCATTATAAATATTCTTATTATTTTTCTATTTACTTGTTTTTCTCTATTTTAAGGCTGCACTACACGTTTTAGCCATAGGAGTTTCAACTTTCTGAGTACACTGACTGACTATTATTACGGCGGAGATCACCGATCTGGCTGGATATCAACGCCAAATTTTCCTTCCAATTATCAGGATAACACGGACTGTATCTGGGTGTTAAAACTCCTGCCAAATACTCAAGTCAGAATTAAGTTCGAGAGGTTCTTGACAGGTGGGTTTTGTCCATCGGCAACGGTAACGAGAACGTCAAAACAGCAATAGGTCTAGGCCCTGTTTACAAGGGGGGAGTGTAACCCTGGTGCTAGGGTTACTCTTGCACCAGGGTTTCCCTAGCACTCGCACATTTCTTCCTTTTTACACGACGTGTTTACAAGCAGGTAGGGTTACCTCATCGCTAGGGTAACCCTACCTTAGTGCTAGCTAGGGTTACGCTACCTGCCTTGTAAACGCTCTGCTTGGGATAACTTGCCTAACTTACCTACCCGGGACAACTTTCCTTCGTCATGTGTGACCAGTAATCTTGACAATTTGAACGGAGTTATCCAATTTCTGAGCTAAATTATAAACATCTGAACAGTATCAGGTATTTTCTGTACTAGATGACAATGTTTTTCCCGTTTTTTTTTTTCGTAAATTTAACGTGGTTCCATAGACAACTTCAAGTTTTATATCAAATCTTGGACGTTTCAAAGAATGACAAACATGACGAAACACGTCAGCAAAGCTGGTAAAGTTGACACGAGTGATAGGGTAACCCTACCTGTGAAATTTGCTTGTAAATCAGAGCTATCTTTAATCCGCTTGCTAGGGTAACCCTAGCACAAGAGTAACCCTCTTGTTAACAGGCCCTTAGATAAGCAAAACAACAATTTTGCACGTACATCACGCTTTCTGTATATTTCTTTTTCTTCGTTGCACAACTACGACGTGTAGCTGCCTAATTTCACGTTTTGTGGAGGACGTTAGCACACGGCAACGACTCTGTTTTTCTTTTCCTGAACCTCGAGTCCGTCCTTTAGAATTCAACTCTAGAAAAGTTCGCCCACATTCGACGAACTGAACGAGATGGAACAAGCGCGATTAAGTTTGTAACAGCGCGTATCGTTTTCGTTTACGTTGTTGCTTGAGCTTTATGAGCAAAACGACAGCGTTGCACGTGTATTGCGGCACTTACTGCATGAATACGACATGAAACCTCCTGATGCGATGTTTTATGAAGGACGTTAACAAGCGGTACGAATGTTCTTTTCTCTTTTTGAACTTGGCTGCAGTCCTTAAGAATTCATCTCCAGGAAAATTCGTCTACATTTGGCAAATTGAGCGAGGTTAAATAAACACGATAGAGTTTGAAATTATCCATATTAATTTTTTTAGTAACGTTTTTACTGTCGTCGTCATTGTGGTTAATTTAGCTCCCCAATAACTTACTCGTCACCAACTATCGACTGATCCGCAGAGCCAGCTGTTTAAAGCTGAAAACGACCTATTTGGGTTATTTGGGTTATAATTAGACAATGTTCAGAGCGCTATTTTCACTGGGAATTCTTTTGCAAATGCTTTTTAAAAATGTTTTCTAAAAATACATCTGATCCCCGCTGTTCAAAAGGTGGCAAACTAATTTATCCGACATTTACCTTTGTGGTATTATGACGGATGAGCTGCCTTATGGCTGAGTTATAAATTTTCATGCAATTAGCTGTTTTCTATGCGGTTTGGTCGGCTAGGCTTTCCGACAACGTTGATTCCAAAATCTGTATTGTGTATTAACGAACTTTTAATCTACATGAACATGTATGTTTGCAAATGTTACCAAAATTATAAATGTTGTTTAGTTAACAGTCTTCGTTGTGTTTACTTTTTTGTTAGAACCCTATTATGACTTCGTGGAAATTCGAGATGGCGAGAAATACTATTCGCAGTACCTTACGCCCCTTCCTAGAGGATTTAATGGAAATCTGAGTCTCAGTACAAGTGTAACGGCGTCATCTAATGTTATGTGGATCAAATTTCATTCAGACACGTCGGTCAATCGACAAGGGTTCAACTTGACCTATGAAGCAGTAGGTAAGAACTTTTCCCGTTTTTCTTCACTTGAAGAAATTCACTAAGCTAAGAAAGAACTATTTTGATTCATATGTTTCCGTTCGTTTGACCGACCCCTCCAGCAGGCTATTTTTTTTTGAAAGAACAGATTTTTTTTCAGTGTAATCAGGCGTAGAAAGAAAAAGTAGAGAAGGAGACCCAAGGTCAACTACTAAGCTTTTGGTCTTGGATAACTTAATGGGATGGAAACGAGTAATGCAAGACACAAGAAGGGCCTTTCTTTCTAACGGAAATCCCTACACTGTTATATACCTGAAGCCTGAAAAAGGTCCCCCGGAGTATCCCCGGCGGCATTAAAGATATGTCTGGAAGGGTCGAAAATGCCTGCAGTGCAGGTCCATTTCCAAAGAGCAATGCAAACTCTGGGACAACGATGTCGAGTGGTTTGTTCGCCAGTTTGAGATGTACTTTATTTGGAAAATTTGGTTGGTATAATTCACGAGCGGTAATGAACTGGGAACCGCCAGGGACTGTCTGACTTTCATTTCCACACATCCCAAAAAATTGCAAGCATGACTAGTACGCACTGATCTCACCCAACACTTTGAGCTCTTAAGATTTTTAGCTCACCCCAAGCGGTAACTTACAAGCTGTAGAATGATCAAACTGAAACATTTGTAGGCGTCGGCCGCCTACAGTTTTATGGGCTGGGTACGCCCTTGACAGCAGAGTGCTTTTCCACGTGCGTTAAATAAAGCATCTAACCTGAGTCTATCCGAGGGCGATAGGTTAACATAGAACGATCGAGGCGGGCATTGTTGTGATTTGAAATTTCAGCTTGGCGAGTATGCACAAGCCAAGAGTTCAGTTCCCCCATATTGCAGGCTTGTTTTGTATAATAGTATTGGCGTTCAATCCGCCTTGTCTTGTTACTAGGTGCTTCAACTGAAAAACCGCCTGTCACTGCAAGTACGTCTATTCCGCCTTCAGAGCTGCCAAAAGTCCAATTTATAGAAGGAGGTAGGCTTGATTACTTAATAGATTTCCTTTTTACAAGCTTTGAGATTCGGACGTCCGGCTCTGACCGCTAGCTATTTTTTTTTTTTGGCTGTAAAGCCGCGAGGAGAATGGGAATGAATCAATTTGAGAATTTCCCTTCGTCCTGAACTTGAGGCACTCACGGTCTCCCACGAGGCACGCAAACATTTCTGTTGTTCGCTTGCCTATTTTCGTGTTTTTGGTAAGAATATAGTGATGTGAAGTGATTTCTGTGCCTTTCCACAGACAGTCTGACTTTTTATACCGGTTCTTCAATAAACAGCTTCTAGGGGGTAGTAAAACTAAACACTCTAAAAAGACCAGTTTCCTACAGGGATTGCCGCCCACTACGGAGAGAGTTCAATGCAATTTACTTTGAACGACTTAATTATCTCCAGTGGCTGGTCTTCTTATTCGAAAAACGTGCTGTTTATTTATTGCCTAGGCACCGTTTTCAATTTTCCCTTTTTAGTCGAGCTTGTTGTGGTAGAGAGAGTCTCTAAAAATGCAGGCGTTTTTTTGTCGTCGGTCTTCCCCAAATGGTCCGCCATTTGATACTGATCGTTCTTAGGGGTATGTAAAAATGAATGCTCCGTTATTATTTGGGCGTGGCCCAAATAGAGTATTCGAAACGGCTTGTCTTGACGCAAAAGTGCAATAGGCTCGCAATACGTGCTAACGTATACAAGCAAGTTAACTAGCGAAGCGACGCGAATGTCTGCCATGCGAACGTCATTCAACACTACATATTCTCCTTTATCGTTTTCGTAAAGTAAACCAAAATCCCTAAAAAGTGTCTTCGGTAGGCCCACACTAAAATAACACTGAGTGTTTTCATAGTGGGCTGGTCCGCGAACTCAAAGAAAAACAAAGGAAATTGTCAAGACATTCAAAGACCATGGACCTCATAGACGCAATGACAAATCGGAATGTCAGGGGTGTACGTGTAAAATCGATAAGAGTTTAAACAGAAGAATGTGTATCAAGTTTGAGAGTCGCAAGGTTGGTGTGGCTGGTAATCGGTGTGACAATAGTGATTTTCGATTTTCACAATGCGGAACACAAGGAGTTGCCTGTGATAAAAATATTTTCCGATGAAGGAAGAGAAGATTGTCAACAATTGAAACCAAAAGGGACTCAGGCTTCTTTGGGAACCACTGTGATAGCGGTAACAATTCTTCTTATTCTTTCAATTCGCTTAGCAGATTGACTGTTAATGTACTTGTTTTTATATTGTGCGTTGTTTTTCATGTAATTGTGTATATTGTGACGCGGTACATGTACGATGCTTTTGCATTATCAGCGAGTTTTGTGTTAATAGTGTTTTGGTGTCAGTGAGGTGACGACAAGTAAAGGTAATTAGTCAATTGTATGAAAGGAAAATTCTTTTGTGGAGGAAATAAAAGAAGTTGAATTGAGATCTCGTCGTGGGAAATTTATTTATAACAGAACTTACGATCCAGTTGGTTTAAATAAGTCATTTCTCTCGACGCGGTCCTGCACCTAGCAGACTACCGATGAAGAAGTTAAAATCGTTGTTAATGAAAACACGGAAAGTGAGGCTTTTTGTATGGAAGGGAATTCTGAAAAATACACCATTGTCGTCTAAAATTTATTGTTACGTTGAAAATAGGAATGGTTTATGCTTAAACCGGTACAGAAGTAACTGTCAAGTCAAAAATTGCTTCGAAAACAAGGAAAGGTTTATCTGTCGTCTAAGTATTAAAGAAGAGGCTTTTTAGGTGGGGTGAGGTATCAAAATAGGTTTTCAAGTAAGTATTCGTCCCTCCCGATCTGTAAATGCAACTATCCATTTTATAGTGCTCACAAGAGTTTGATTCATCGGATTAATTTGGCCAATTTAAGCTTTCAACTGATATCGAGAAGAATCCAGGACCTTCAGTTTATGTAGATGCTACAAAAACGATTTAAAATAGGATTTTAAGTAAGTATTTGTCCCTCTGTAAATGCAACTATCCATTTTATAGTGCTCACAAGAGTTTGATTCATCGGATTAATTTGGCCAATTTAAGCTTTCAACTGATATCGAAAAGAATCCAGGACCTTCAGTTTATGTAGATGCTACAAAAACGATTTAAAATAGGATTTTAAGTAAGTATTTGTCCCTCTGTACATGCAACTATCCATTTTATAGTGCTTACAAGAGTTTGATTCACCGGGCTAGTTTTGGCCAATTTAAGGTGACTCGACCCAGTTATTTTGTGGGGCTACCATCCTACTTTGAAGCTCTCTGGTATCCTCACCTTTACTTTGATCCCAAGTCTAACATATAGCTTGGACAACATATAGATCAATCTACAATATAGCATAAAATTCTTCGCGATCGGAGTAAATGTCACGTGGTTATAGTGCCACGCCTCTTTGGGATCTGAGTCGAAATTCTGCTGTTGCCAGCATTTTTTTCGTGAAAATATCACGGCTACATATGGTGCGCATTAGTGCCTTGCGTTAAACAGATTTTCACCAAAATCGCAAAGACCCATTGCGAGAAATTCAGCGGTTTCCAAATTTAGGTTATAATTATTTGAAAATAATAAGCAAATTTTACACGATTATATCTAATAAACTATGAGATTTCTCCATTTATTTTGAGGATCTTTATAACAGATGGGTCCTTGCAAGTCAGCAAGATGTGATAATTCATTTGAGTGTTGTGAGATGGAACCTCTTAAAAAGAAACATTTAGTTACAAGGAGAAAAGAAAACAGGCAGATCGGGGTATAGATTTTTGCATTGAACATTATAAAAATAAAATAAGAAATGGTCCCTGTTATATATGTTGTGTTTGTAATTGATTGCTTCATGAGAGATCAGTTCACATTTTTGGCAAAAGTAAGTATTCGTGTCAAAATATTTTCAGTGTGCAGTCTTCATTTGATGGAAAACAGTTTGTTTGTAAAACATGTCACTTCATAAGTACAGACATTTTCTCTCAACACCTCAGTGCCACTATTAACAGAGTTTGACTCTATTAGCAACATCCAATAAAGACGTAGAAACCCAGCAACTACCTCACAAACTACACCCATTATCTTAGCAATCAACTTCCAATATAACTTCACGCCTAATATACAATAGCACTGCACTACCCACATATCCCTGATACACATAACAAACTTCACATACGCTTAGTACAACCACGCCCAAATAAACGCCCCCACAGCGTCTTGTTTTAATTTGCATTCGTGAGGATTGGCCGGTTCTGGGACTATTGTAATTTCTGTCTAAGATTAAGCACAAAACTACCACATTACCATAATAAAGATGAAATGTTTTGAATTTATGCGAATTTGTGACATTTTAATTGAATGTTTACATAGTAAAAGACAGACTCGTGTTTGCATTTTCCCACATTGTGACTTTCAACGTTTAATACTATAAACGATTAAAAAATATTCATTACTAGTAGAACTCATACGAATAGACAGAAATAGCGAAGAAATTAATCTGGCCAAACTCAATTCGAGAATTGTTGTAGAAGTTTTAACTCTGCCTGTGGCCGCCGAACCAACCTTACGTGCTACAGTGAACGTGCATTTAGCAGTCACTACACAACATGACTACCTTGAAGAACGATTTTGTTTTGCAAGCACGTGGATTTTTATGGACACTCGGTTCGTTTCACTTGTCGCGATGTTTCGTTACATACGTTTCCACAGGTAACGCACGGCAAACATATTGGCAATAGGAAACAAACGTTTTGAAAAAACAAGGTACACTGAGTCATACAAACTATTATTATAAATAATTTAAATTTTCTCTTTGAAAAATAATTGTCCTCGTAGCACACGACGTTAAACGTTTATGCTTCAGACCACATGTACCCGTCATTATCCTTTTCCTCGTACAGACTTTTCATTGCCAGTAAGCTCATGTCCTCCCAGAGGACTATTTTTTCTCTCTTGCAATGATGTAATTTCGCTCGATTTTCTTTTTTTATACACGACTCAATCATCGTCGAATACGTTATAAAAAGTAACTATCCTGAAGAATACTTGACCGTCGGTAAATAAGGAAGTGAAAAACTTTTAGATAGGAAATCCTGTTTCGTGTAGAATAAATCACCCCCGTTCTTCTTATCTATCTCCAAGCAAGAGAGACTTACTGCTTAGAGAGCGCTCTTATTGATTGTAATATTGACAAATTTGTCCAAATATTGTATGCAAAGAAACTGTAAAAATTGATTAACAGAACTGTGAGTGAATTGTTTTGTATTGACGTTTAGTTAACTGACATGTTACAAGTCACGCTGAATTCTTTCTATATGTATTGTATTTTTGTTTATTTCGTTTCATTTCTTTCTCTTCAAAGGCTGCAACGGTATAACGCATACAGAAAACACAACCTTCGGCTATCTTGACTGGTACCACAACACTGGTTTTGTTAAAAGTCCTGACTACCCATCAAACTACCCCCACAACCAGCTCTGTAGATGGTCTATTCAAGTAGCTCCCGGCTTCAGGATTCTCGCCACAGTAAAACAAGCTGACCTTGCGCATGCGGCACAGTCAGGTGGACTGGGCGACACCTTGCATTTGGATGATGGGATTTCTGCGAAGAAATCCATTGAACACTCGGCTCCTTGGGAATTTTTGTCTAACGCGAGTTTGGTGCGAATCATTTTCATTACTGATTCTGCAAACGCTGGAAAAGGGTTTTATATTCACTACGAGAGAGGTATGTATGATATGCCACTGCACTATGATTACGGAACCGATATATACCCTGCGAATAGTGCCGGCTGTCCTCGCTCCCCACAGCTAGGGACGTTTCGCGTGAAGGGCGTTTGCTCCCTTAGCGACAGAAATTCTATACACCATATTCACAAATGGCGGACACGCGGGAAAAAACTGGTGCCTAGTCATGAAAGCGAGGCGTTGGAGGATAAACAAAAATTGCAAATGAAGACTTTCAGTGAACTTGAAGAGTGTTTAGCACGGATTCCACCTAAAATAACTTTTTACGGACTTCTTTTTAAATACAATTTACGTGGGATGTCTTCTGCTTTTAATGTTTAGTAGCTATTTGCTGTTTGCAATCAAAAGGGACGCGTATATCTTCAGGAAACAGGATGATTTTGTAGGTTTCCGAAGCATCAGAAGCTCGAAGAGTAGGCGATCGCTGGAGAAAAGCGGCAAACATGTTGGCCCAAACTTCACACTGAAACCGAATACGAAAGCCAGAACACTACAATTCTGTATTGGATCAAATTAATTCCGTCGCTTTGGAGGGAATTGTTAGAGGTACGTTGGCAGAGCTTAGCAAAAATCTCCATGATTTCTTTGTCATTGCAAAGTAATTAAAAACAAGACGCTACGGAGGTAGCGTACACTTCGGCGTCGTGGTTGTGGAACTAAAGCCTGGTTTCCATATGATCGTCCGGATCGTCCCGATCGTCCCAGTCGTCTCAAAAAATGTTCAGACGATCGGGACGATCATATGGAAACGCTACCCAGACGATCGCAGACGACCCGGACGACTGAGACGACCTCGATCGCTTGGATAGAGTTGAGCTCTATCCGGACGATCGGGACGATCATGTAAATTTTGAAGCGATCATATGGAAACGCTCTCAGACGACTAACACAAGGAAGTTTAACGCCAAAGGAACATAGCCTTTACAGAGCTTTAAAACACAGCATCCGCCAACACAAACTTGACTTGAACTTTGAGTAAAACTAAACAGCCTCTACCAATAACAACAAACTCTCACTTGAACTTCAGATATCTTACGGCTTCCGCCAACTTGTAAACACAGGACCTGAAAATCGACCTTCGTCACACTTGACTAAACACAGCATTCCAGCTCGTGGGAAAAAACTTAGTTCGTCAAAAGAACTCGCTTGGAACTGGTATACCATTTGACATAAGGTTCTAGAAAATACTACACAGGCGAATAGTAGTAGCTTTGCGACATATTTTATGATTTCAGTAACTGATGCAAATCTGCTGACTCATGCTGAAATGTAAACATGCCCTAATTAATTATTCATGGCTAATCCAAAAACGTAGATAACGTTCGAGAAAGTCACACAACGCATGAAAGCAATTTTACTACGTAATACTCAACAAAGACAAAATGTCTTTGTGCAGCATTTTGTAACTTTAAATTCATCATAAAACTGTTCGAAAGGAGGGCTCACTCGTGAAATGTTTTTCAACACTCGAGAAAGAAATTTCGTGTCTCTGCGCGGCCACGAAATATCCTCTATTTATTCCTCGAGTAATTAAAGACTAAACTCGAAGTGATCTCAAGATATCACGAAGTAGTCCGATCTCATTTCGTGAAATAGTTGAAACAAGCCGAAAAGTCACGAACTTGCACGCCCAATCTTGTCCCGAAACTAGTGCATCATTTCATAACTATTTTTCACATCCCAAACTACCTTGGGTCGCAGTAGCGCAATCGGCTAATCCCTCAACTTAGAGTCTCCTCTGATCTGACGGGTCACACAGGTGAGTCGGTTCAAACCCCGGGAAAGCCAAAATAGTAATTCTTTCTTCCTCGAAAAAAATAAAGAATAAATTAATGCAATCGAAGTGATCTCGAGATATCTCGAACTAATTCGGCTCTCACTTCGTCAAATTTGAGAATGGAGCCGAAAACCTACAGACTTTGCTTGCCCAATCTTGTCAAAACATTGCAACTTTGATACATTCCTGAGCGTCGCGAATCCTTTACTTCGCGCTCCGCCGAAGTAATAATTTTATCAAAATTAGAAGCTGTAGTGTGTGAATATTATGGCTTGCTATTTGCCTGGTTTCTTTTAGGGCATTATGGCAGAGAGCTCGTGGTAAAAAAGTGGTATAAAGCTTACATTTTACTAGGTTAAAATTTTAAGGCAATGTTTTTGTCAGGACTGAACACGGCAAGCTTCTGTGTCGAATAATTGAATTCGAGTCTGGATCAGTTTAAGAAGACCATCATTTTATTTATTTATGTATTCTTCAACTGTAAAATATTATGGAACATAAAGTTAAAACTCTTAACAGCCAAAGGTAAGAAATACGAAATTACTCGCTGAAATGATATGTGGCCGGCTTACCGAGTCTGCCGAGTAGCAAGTTGAAATTTTGAGCGTACTCCTCTCGGTCGCTCCTGCACATTAAAAATAAATTACCGAAAAACCGCTTGAAAAAAAGGTCAACCCCGCTGTTTTATTGATGTCCTTCATTGGTAAAGACCAGAGAATAACGTCCTGGCGAACAAAAACCAAACATAACTTCATCGAAACCTCAGTCACCTCTTCTTTCCTGTCTTCCTTTTTTCCATCTCGACTTGAACTGTTTTGTTCAACGGCAGACGTCTCTTGCGTTAACAGTTGCAAGTAGGCCATACATCTGTCGCTTATTTTTTTTGTTCTTGCCACCAAGATTTGTTTATATTTCTGTTTCACCGAATTGCAGTGAGCTGGCTTTCGTACTCGGTTTCAATGTGAAGTTTGGGTCAACATGGCTTTTCTCCAGCCATCGTCCACTTGTCGAGCTTCTGATGCTTCGGAAACCTTAAAAATCATTCTGTTTCCTTGAAGATCTACGCGTCCCTTTTGATTGCAAACAGCAAATTGCTACTAAACATTAAAAGCAGAAGACATCCCACGTAATTGTATTTAAAAAGAAGTCCGTAGAAAGTTATTTTCGGTGGAATCCGTGCTAAACACTCTGCAAGTTCACTGAAAGTCTTCATTTGCAATTTTTGTTTATCCTCCAACGCCTCGCTTTCATGACTAGGCACCAGTTTTTTCCCGCCTGTCCGCCATTTGTGAATACGGTGTATACATTGTTTTAGCTAGTGTTTACGAATCACAGACTAAAGACAAAAGGCCACGTAGGTCCAATGTAAATGTTATTAATCTTCTACAAAAACGTGGAATACATGTATATTCTTCTTTAGAAGAAGCATTTGAGTTTTGCTGTAGCTTTTTCGCAGAAGAGCACAACACAAAACTTTAATATAATCGATAGGATAAATATATAATGGAATAAATAATTTGAAAAATCCAAGACTACCGGTTTAATTATGTAAATACTGATTTACGTCATCAGTATGAAATTTCTGTCGCTGAGTCGCAGACGTGTTCCCTCAAAACGTCTCTATCGGCGAGGAGCGAGTAGAGTTGGCTGTATTCATAGGCTAACCGATATACCACTGCAATTACCTTTTAAATAGGCAACCCTGCCATGAGCCCCAAATACCAAAACTTCCTCCGGCATGCTAACAGATCCCCCGGCACCAGTCACACTGAATCCGTAAGGCTTACTGGAAAATTCTAGTGTAAAGAACAAACCAAAGGGTAAAAGCCCCCGCTAGGGCCGGAGGGTGGGGAGGAAGACGCACAAAGCAGTAAAAGACGTCCTCTAACACAACAACGTTGCAGTAACAAAATGGTGCAACCCTAAAGCAGGGCAATGGCGTACTCACTGTACTCAAACTGTACTCAAACTGTACTCAAACTGTACTCACTGACTCAAGCTTCACCTATACGCGGTCAGCACAACTGGAAAAGGCTGCAGGAATGCAAATACAAACATTTCTCTGGGAACGCTGCTGAACGCCAGTTAATTGAGTCACATGACATTAAAACATTTTATTATATTTTCAGTTATATTTTTCCTTGGTTTGACAGACGGTTTATTTTATTTGTTTTATTATTTTATTTATTCACCCAGTTTATGTAAAAACGTAGGTTATGTTGCGTTTGCTCCACGTCGATTAACTTGACTTTTGCGGATTCTAATCTTACGTTTTGGTGGCAAACGCGCTTCCGCTTTTTATATATTTCTTCGTCGATTTTCCTTCGCCTACTGAAGCTTTCTTATTTGTTTTTTCTTCGTTTTTGTTCAGCGTTCTTGTTGATCCCCTAGCTGTGAGTAATATCGATAATTTTTGTTCGCCTATTCTTTAGAACTGCGCCCTCGACAGCCTTTCGGTCTCGTCTTTAGGAAAGAATGGATTAAGTTCTATCTGACCTCCAGGGGCTGCGTTACTTTCTAGTTTCGCGTTCGTTATTTGCTGGCATAAGAGATAATACGCGTGGGCTTTAAGGGATAAGATTATTCCAGCACGTTCGATCCATTCTTCAGGTCAAAGCTCCAGGAATTATGTTAGGATGCATGCGCAATTATATTTTATTAAAGAAATCGACAGTTAAGAATGTCCCACTGTTCATAACCTTCATCGTCGTTGCTCAGACTGTAATTTATCCACGCTGAGTTTGTTAGCACAATGATAATATTTATTTATGACCCATAAGGCGCAACTTCGCACAAGGCCATATAGAAGATGTTGAGGGTCTTCTATTTGAAATGACCTATAACCCAGTAGTTTTCGTCTCTCTAACTTTTGGTGGTTGTAATATGAGTCATATCGTCTATCCCATATGACAGTGTGGCTATTTGGCTGAACAAAGGGGACTGGGCATTTTTTCCTCGCGTCAACAAAATAATTCCCGACTGTGTTCAAGTACCACTTTGATATTAAACAGTGATGTATTTGTTTGAGGCACTATCCTACTTGGTCTCTTTTTGTTAACATCTCTATTTATCTTCAGTTAATATAACTGAGGAAGGATCTTCCACAACAAGCCTTCCGATAACTGCGCCCATTGCTTCCACAGGTAATAGTATCCATTATTACTTGCACGATGCATGTTATTGCAGTATGTTACTTCCTTGGTGGATGTTAATGCAGTATGTTACTTGCTTGGTGGATGTTAATGCAGTATGATACTTGCGTGGTGGATGTTAATGTAATATGTTACTTGCACGGTGGATGTTAATGCAGTGTTACTTGCATGATGCATGTTATTGCAGTATGTTACTTGCATGGTGGATGTTAATGCAGTATGTTACTTGCATGGTGGATGTTATTGCAGTATGTTACTTGCAATTGCATGATGCATGCTGTTGTAGTATGTCACTTGTATGGTGGATGTTATTGCAGTGTGTTACTTGCATGATGCATGTTAATGCAGTATGTTACTTGCATAATGCATGTTCTGGCGTTATGTTACTTTCATGTTGGATTTTAATGCAGTATGTTACTTGCATGATGCGTGCCATTGTAGTATGTTACTTGCATGGTGGATGTTATTGCAGTATGTTACTTGCATGATGCATGTTAATGCAGTATGTTACTTGCTTGGTGGATGTTAATGGAGTATGACACTTGCTTGGTGGATGTTAATGCAATATGTTACTGGCATGGATGTTAATGCAGTGTTACTTGCAGGACGCTCGTTATTGCAGTATGTTACTTGCATGGTGGATGTTATTGCAGCATGTTACTTGCATGATGCATGCTATTGTAGTATGTCACTTGCTTGGTGGATGTTATTGCAGTATGTTACTTGCATGGTGCATGTTATTGCAGTATGTTACTCGCATGATGCATGTTAATGCAGTATGTTACTTGCATAGTAGATGTTAATGCAGTATGTTACTTGCTTGGTGGATGTTAATGCAGTATGATACTTTCTTGGTGGATGTTAATGCAATATGTTACTTGCATGGTGGATGTTAATGCAGTGTTACTTGCATGATGCATGTTATTGCAGTATGTTACTTGCATGGTGGATGTTAATGCAGCTTGTTACTTGCATGATGCATGCTATTGTAGTATGTCACTTGCTTGGTGGATGTTATTGCAGTATCTTACTCGCATGGTAGATGTTAATGCAGTATGTTACTTGCTTGGTGGATGTTAATGCAGTTTGATACTTGCTTGGTGGATGTTAATGCAATATGTTACTTGCATGGTGGATGTTAATGCAGTGTTACTTGCATGATGCATGTTATTGCAGTATGTTACTTGCATGGTGGATGTTAATGCAGTATGTTACTTGCTTGGTGGATGTTAATGCAGTATCATACTTGCTTGGTGGATGTTAATGCAATATGTTACTTGCATGATGCATGTTATTGCATTATGTTACTTTCATGGTTGATGTTAATGCAGTATGTTATTTGCTTGATGCATGTTATTGCAGTATGTCACTTACATGGTGGATGTTAATGCAGTATGTTACTTGCATGGTGGATGTTAATGCAGTGTGTTACTTCCATGATGCATGTTATAGTAGTATGTAATTTGGCGGAAACTGGTACTTGCATAATGCATGTTACCACAGTTCTTTTTGCACGATGTGCATTATGGCGGAAATGCTACTTGCATGATGCATCTTGCGACGTTGCACACTGCTTGCACAGTGCATGATATACTGGTGCAGTTCACCACTGTATATGGTATATGTGGGAGCAGTACATGCTTCTTGCATGAGGCGTATTATAGAGGAAATGCTACTTGCATGTTGCTTGTTATGACAAAGCCTGTTACTTGTATGATGCATGTTGTGACGACGCATGTTGCTTACACAGTTTATACTCTATTTTTTTTTTCACTTGCATGGTACATGTTGTAGCGGTGCATTTAATTTTACTTGCATGGGGCACTCAAGTGCACAGCTCTTCTTACAGTTTAAGGTGTGTCGCTTGATTAACGGGCTCAACGTCATTGAACTGGCCACGAAATGATTTACGTGATGCGTTACTAATTTAAAATTTGATAATAAGAGTAATAAAAACAATAATGATAATAATACTTTGCTTAGGCGCTATGTTGCCCTGATAACATCATAAGTATATTTTTTCTTATGTGGTGTCGTAACTTAAAAATTTAACAACCACGTACTGAATAAAATCCACTTCGTTGACAAAACTGACCTTTGCTCTAATTTACGCTTAGCTCAATTAACGCCAGCTCTAACAGGTGCAGTGTCTGTAGCAAGTTTGGCAATACGAGCTACGAATTCGAAGTCTATCCGAGGTATGTCTGATTAGGATACGATTTTGCCAGCAACAAAATATTTTCGAATAGGTGACTGTTTAAAGTTCTATACATATAACAACTGATCACTATATTTACTCGTGTAACTGGCTTCCTCTGCTTACTATGGTATGGATAGAACCTCATAACTAGCGGTATCCATATTATTTACGGATAGTTGAAGTAAAACAAACGCTACCAAGTGCAGTGACTGTACCGACGAGTTCGCCAGTCCTCCTTAAAACGACTTTCTCAATTCGAGATGTAAATGATTAAACTGTTGTCTAGCTTGCAAGGTCTTCCAATACCGAACATAATTAAGAACGGCAAATTTTCAGCCAACGAATTACACTAGTCCTTTCATTGCATGGTAACTGGGTTTCTCTTTGTTCGACTAACCTAACTCTAATCTAACTCCAACACTGTCGTTATCTAAAGAATATAGTTAAATACTAACAGATCTTTTTGCGCTTAGTTCAATTAACCCAGACTACAGCAAGTCCAACGGCTCTGGAAACTTCGGCAATCCAGGCTACAAGCTCTTCCATCGGAGGTACTATTTTGTCTGATTAAACAACGCCATTTTTTCCGAACAACGCGTCGGATATAATTCTCAACTACTTATTCAAACAATGCTGCTCTAGTAGCTATTTTAACCTTTTCGAGGGTGGTGAAAATAAATACTTCATGGAGTTGTGAGTTCAGAAAAATAATAATAATAAAAAATAGTATTTAAATAAAATGGAGTACATCGAAACTAAATTGATTGATTTAAACGGAAATTAAACCACAATTGTTGTATTCTCGGTTTGTAACCACGCGCTCTTTAATTAGCGTCATCGTGCGGCATGTATCCACGAAAGAGACGTTTCTTTAGAATCGAAATATGTAGAGCTTTGAAACAACTCAGTGGAAGTATGTTTTGCTATAATCTTATCTCTTGTTTACAAGACCAACAGCATTATCAAAGACCTTTTTCACGTCATCGACACCGCTATGACTTCATCTTAAATCGCACACTGCTAACAGTGAACTGAACGATGTAGTAAATGATGCACTGTAGAGTAACTTCTACTCAAAATAGAGCTGGCACCCGCACTCTATGTATCCGCCATTGTGGTGTAAGCAAGCACCGTCAATTAGCATGATTAACTGTAAGTAATTGAATAGCAATTTTTCTGATATTGGGTGGCCTGTGCTACGTACACAGGGCAGTTAGATGAGTCGTTACCACTTAAGTGTGTTGAGAGGAGCAAATTCAACATAACCTTGATTTTCACCGTATTTATTTTATTTGCCATATGTTTAAGTTGTCTTTTATAATTATAACTATGATGACTATAACACGACATTTTCTTAAACGTGCCAGTTACTGAATATACCCTGCTACTAGAGTAGTTTCTTTGTGCTGCAGAAGTCACAATTAATGACAGAACACAAAAGACTGGGAAAAACAAAAACAAAACAAAAATACACAGAGAGACACTAGACAATAGCCACACAACAACTCAACAGATAACCGTGCGAACACTAGATCTGCAATGCTGGATTTGGAAAACGGAAACAGACGAAACACGGAAGTGACACAACGACCTTTCTAGTTCTTAGTCGCTTATTACGATTATTTAATAATTGGGCCTAAATGTTACGCTCAGCGCCCGTAGCCAGTAAACAGGCTTCCCTGTGGGTATAGTTAGAAAGCCACAAGGCGCTTGTTTACAAACACACACCCGTTCTTTTCATTTGGGATTCTACTCCATCGAAAACTTTCCTAAGGCTAGCTATAAAAAGAACCGTCTTTGTTATCATTCACTGCGTTTGGGTGCAGACACAAAGTAATATCAGTGTTTTCTTTTATCATATCATTAATTGTTGTTTTCTATTTGTTCCATTAGTTTCTTCTAGTAAAGAAGTAACCAAACCTGGTAGGTGCCAAGAAAATTGGATGCTATTTTTTCGCTTTACAGCGATTTGATATGCATGTTTAGCCAATGCTGGTCAGTGGATACCTTTTTTGATAGCTGTCACTGGACCATAACATGGATGTCCGATAAAGACAGATAGTGTAAAACTTCTCGGATGGATAGATTACCAAATTTTCTTAGAAATGGGGCTCCGCGCGCGCGTGGTGCTCCGCTATTAGCAATAAGGGAAAATAAATCAGAGGAATTTTGCATGACCCGAAATAATGATACTACTGTTTGCTCACAGGCTGTCATTTTTTATTTTTCAGCTGTAGAAAACACCAATGCACCAAGTAAGTCATTTTAAAATATACCTTGCTTTTATCGCTTCCGTTGTCTTTTTTTTATACCGAGACAAATGCACTATATCCATTTCCCTGGCGTTCAACCACGATACTTCCTTAGTGTACTGTGCTAAATAATGCATGCGCATCCGAGGTTAGTGAGTGGTGCTATATTCTGCCTGGGATGACTAAAAATCACATAAATCCACAAATCCAGCACCACCCAATCCTTGACTACAGGTTGGTAAATGACCGCAAGAACAGACCACAGAGAGCTTTTGTTGGATAAAACATATGATGTGTCAACAGCTACAGAGGTGAGGGCGACGTTTGATCATCACTGTTGTTTGGTGATTTGATTTTTTCATTTTTATTTGATTCATTAGACAAAGGGGACAAAGGAAAGCAGGAAGGAATGGGTGGCGGTACTGTTGCCCTGATCGTGATTCCCATAATACTTGTCATCATTGCGGTTATTTTTTTCCTGATTTTCTATGTCAAGAAAAAGAAGAGGGGTACTCCAGGAGGTAGGAATATAACACGTTGTGCTAACTGTTAGTTGGAGGATTTCTTATTTTCAGCAACCTTTTCATGCAACGAAATACAAAAATTAATGCATAACCACTGTTTGGTATTTCCGGATTGTAGCATGGCTAGTGCCGCAATGTAATGCTAGTCAATCGTTTACTCAATAAGGACCTAGACGGAAAGAGTGTGGAAAGAACGGAGGGAAATCCAGAAAAGTTAGAACTCAACGCTTTAGTTCAGATTGAGGACAATGAGTCATTTAAAATTTAATAGTGTAAATCTTGTTTTCTGGAAAAGTTGAGTGGAGCACTTAATTTTACCATTGGTAGCCAGGTGGTTATTATTTGTCTGAAAAGATCGAGTTATATTTTTCATCATCTGCTAGCCTAATGAAGTTTCATTTTGTTTTCTTTGTGTTGTTTAGTTCGTCATTTCTTTGTAAACGAGGCCTATGACAACTTAGATTCAATGGCCATGGGAAACACAAATAGAGGTTCCTCCGAGTATGCAGAACCGGTAACGCCCAATGGTACCCACCCCTCATCCCAGACAGCTCCTAGGCAGGATCCTGCCATCTACTTCACAGGTAAACATTCAAAAAAAGAAAAAAAATTAAACGATCGAGTATTACGAGCTTAGGCCCGAGAAAATTGTTCAGTCCCTGATGGGGTTCAAACTGTAGCGTCTTCCAACCGCGTGGGGTGATTTTCACGCGCGCTCGCGTTTAGCTGGCTGTACTATCCCTGAGGACAAATGGGGGACTACTCGTAGTCTATAGAAGGATAAGCAGCAGTGAAATGAAAGAGGTTCGCGTGGGTTTCAAGGTCTGTCTTCCCAGCCCCTTCTAATTCCCTTTCACGACCCCCTTCTTGTCCGACGCGTGCATACACGCCTTTTTTTAAATTTTTGGTAAGAGAAGTAAAACACCAGAAAGCACGGATAAAATTCCGAGCTCCAGGTGAGACAAATTAATGACCCTCATACTTCATTTTTTTTTTCACAGCGGCTCCACCTCCTTACAGCCAAGGGCCGTCGGAGGATATTCTTCTCGTACCTTTCCCCGCTACCACCGGAGATAGAATGATCCCCGTGGGAATTGACAACGCAGCATATGCGGGGCTGTATGCAGCTCCCCCTGCTTACGAAGCTACGGTTCGCACACCAGCAAACGGGACCACTACCACGGGGATTGGATCGGTGACAAGTCTACGAGAAGCGGCCAGGGATGATGGGTAAGAAATTGATTGTACATTACGCTCGTACGCTTAAAAACTTAAAAAGTGTCGAAAGCACCGGTCTTGATAAGATCCCTGCTAAGGTCTTTAAAATTGCATCAAGTGTAATTGCACCATCTTGAACTTCATATTTAATTTTTCTCTCTCCTCTGGGATTTTTGTGGATGAGTGGAAAAATGCACGTGTGTGCCCGGTCTACAAAGATAATGATCATCGTGATTTAGTAAATTATAGACCCATTTCAATGTTGTCAGTAAATTAGTAAAGTTTTCGAAGAAGAAATTTTTAACCAACTATATCGTTATCTAAAGGACAATTCTATTCTTTCTGAATTTCAGTCAGGAGTTCGCCCTCTTCACTCGACCGTCTCGGCTTTAATTTAAATGTGCGACAACTGGATTTAAAATATGAACAACAGAAAATTGATAGGAGTAGTTTTTCTTGATATTCGAAAGGCCTTAATGCTTTGATTCAATTGATCATTCGATTTTAATGGAAAAAGTTGAGTTTTATGGAGTCTCTGATAGAGAACTGATGTGGTTTAGGCCCTATCTTAGGCCGCCTGACAACAACAATGTTTTGTACATGGACATTTATCTCCTCAAAGAAACGCACTATGTGGAGTCCTTCAAGGGTCTATTCTTGGTTCCCTGGTATTCCTCATTTTCATAAATGACTTACTAAATTGTTTAGAATTTACTACCCCTTGTTTATATGCCGACGATACACCAATCTTTGACTCTAGTACTGACGCAAATGTTCTTGCTAATAATATCAATTCTGATTTAGAAAACCTTTGTGATTGGCTCACAGTTAATAGGCTTCATTTACACCCTTTAAAAACTTAATGCTCATCGGGTCAACATATAGAGCTGTTTTCACTTGACTGTCGAAAGGGATTGGTTTTGGTTTTGGTTTTGGTTTTACTACGCCCCTTGGTTGGCTGGTGTATTTACTTTGGTTTTGGTTTTACGACAGTCAAGTGAAAACCGCTCTAACTTAAGTAATAAATCTAAAGATTTGCCTGATGCTATATCCATTGACAATAATATTGTTTCGTATGTAACCTCTAATAAATATTTGGGAGTATTAATAGATGAAAAGCTTACTTTTGAGACCCACGTTGAGTACATATGTGAAAAAGGCGTGCCCCGGTATAGCAGCTCTAAGAAGAATGTTAAACCTTTTGTCCAGCTTTGCACACTTGTACCCTTATACAATTCACTTGTAAAACCGTACTTTGATCACTGTTCCCCTTATGGGATATTTGTGGAAAGCAACTGAAAGATAAAGTGCAAAAAATTCAAAACCGTGCGGGTAGGGTCATTACCGGTGCTTCATATGACATTAGATTGGTAGATGTGCTTGATAATTTAAAATGGAAAAACCTCGAAACCAGGCGCTCACAAATAAAGACTATCCCAACGTACAAAATCCTTAGTCAATGATTAATCTGCCCCCCATTTGAGAGCCTCTCTTCAAGACTAAACGATACTAACATTAACTGTAATCTTAATCTGATCCAGCACTTCCAAGGCCAAAGACTAATTTCCTCAAACGTAGTTTTAAGTATAGTGGTACAATAGTCTGGAATAATCTTTCTTATGAGGCAAAGACAGCCCAATCACTTTCCAAATTTTAAAGCCTCTTTGCCTTCAGCTGGATCGCTCTGATTCATTAATTTGTATTTTTCTATATTTTAAACTTATGCTAATTACCCTTCAATACTCCCACCAACATCATTGTATTGTAAAACTAGCTATATTGTATACAATGTACATTTTATGTAATTAATTTTTCTCAGAAGTTGTGTTACTTGTGTTTACTATTTGTTTGCAATGCGTGTTTGCCTTCGCCCCACCTGGAAATCAGCTTTTGTTGTGTTTGGTTAGCGTAGTGAAATAAATGTGTTGATTTTGACCTTCCTGAGTCTGGAACTATCGGAACCAATTGACATACTTATTTTAGAATTTTGCATCTCTTTTTTATGCTGTATGAATAAATCACAGAAAGGGGAAAATTTCTCGACCTTTTCACGGCCTTAAATTCCTTCAATTAACCTTTTGGGCTTTTTTACAGACCGAAATGAGAGACTTGCCAACCATTTTATTTACTTCAACTAGTAAAATCCCTCCCCTTTCATATACCTGAATCCAGAAAAATGTACCCCTTTCGGGTGGAGCCTCCTCGTATAGGCCATGATAGGGAGTAACCCCGCCCCCACCCCCCCGCCGGGGAAACGCCCTCTAAATGCCAGTGAATAAGTCGTAATCACAACCAATTTAAAAATCTCATATTTGAAAGAAACAACTGTTGTTACTCTGTCTTCTCATCCTGGCGTGGTATCCTCATGTATATCCACTGTCTTATTCGTCGGATATCGAAGGTTACCGGTAAAAAGTTTGCACCAACGTTAGACGACCTTTTTACACCCACTGCTTTGCCAACATTTTGTTGGATGGGTTTCCCGGCTTTGAACGCTTCGATGTTGACACAAAAACTACAAGTGGTCCCGAGCGATACCGAGTTTCAAGTACATTCTATTTGACTTTATCATGATTATACTCTTTTCATTCTGCCATTCTAGGACTACACCACCAGCAAGAACCGTTCAACCAGGTAAAGTAACGATGGTGTATGAAGAGAACACTTTAAGTATCCCATCCTAAATTCTACTGTAACAGTCTTAAATACTTACTTAAATACTTCAATTCAATTCTTTATTCACACTATTTAAGATATTTACATAAGTTTACGTAGGTAGGAAAGTAAAGTAGCTGACAAATAATAATTAACTAAAAGACATTAAGTTCATTTGTGTACGGTGTCCAAAGTAGCAAGAGCTTTCTTGTTGGACACCGTCATGTTGAAATAATTGGCAGCAGTACAGAGAGGAATAAAATCTCAAATAATATCAGTGATAGAAGATATAAGCAAGGTCAGATTTGGTTGGTTAGAAGACAGGACTTCCATTTTTCTTAAACTTATGATATGGCAGACACTTGAGACCAGGCGGTACAGTCTCCCAGATTTTACTTACTTATCTATGTTTTTTCTTCCCCCTTGTTATTTTTTTCTGAAGAAAGGAAAACCGTAAACTGGAGAGGGTGGGCAAGTTTGCCATTCACTTCCCGAAGAACGCAAAGAAAAAGAATATTGTATCTACCTTCACCCAATTTGTGATGTTGTGTTTATTGAATCGATATTTTTTTATGTGCGTCGGTTTCCCAAATCTGCTTGTAATTTCCTTCAGTCCCAGAGTGAATAGTGTAGTTGTGTAAGGTAGTTCTAACTTTTGAGGTAGAAGAAGAGGCCGAAATTTGCAAATTGTTCCGAAGTTTGACTTTGCCACTTTGGGAATGTAAGAGCCAAGCAAGTGTACTTAAACTTCTCGCCTTACATCAAGCAACTGAAATTGACTTGTTATATCCAACTGCAATGAATAAGGATCCATTTGTCCTGAAAAAAATTGAAAGCTATGCCGTAATATTTTTCTCTTGTGTTTATGGTTTTGTTCGTCCTTTTTTCTCAGCCGGCTTGTATAGTGTACCTTTGTCCAGAACAGTTCTTCCTCCCATCCGGGGTACGCACGGGACGGCCGATCAAGAAAAGAAACAATATCCTCAGGAAGAGGAGGCTGGTAAGCCCATTTTTTTCTTTTTCAAGCTTTTTATCTGTACCTTTCATGTTTCATCTCTCCTTTCATATATTTACTCGTAGGGTTTTTGTCAAAACTGTCCACTTCCTGAACATGCTCAGTTACTGTCACCATTTCCTTTTTTAGCACCCTGGTTTGTCAGATGTTTCAAATCAAACCAAACTAGCCTTCAGCAATTAAACAGTGTAATCTACTACATGCTCCTACGGGGAAATTTTTTAGATTGAAGTTCTCTGAGATGCAATCTAGTGCATTCTGGACGCTAAAATTTAGCAAATGCCTGGTTTTCATATTTAACATGTAATGCTGAAATATTTAATAAACCACAGGTGTGATTGTGGTCAAAGAAGTAATTAACACGTTATGATGCTAGCAGGAGCCGAAGCGATTGCGGCGAGAGCACAACCTCCCGGCAAAGGCGGGAGCATTTTCTCCCTGAAAAATTGTCAAATCCAGTTTGTTTGAGGCGGATATTTACCAGCATGCATTGTGGGAGCTTTGGTCGTTTTGCGACTAAAAATGTAGGCTTGGAGCACAGATTCTTTTCTTATTAACAATGTTTATTAAAGATAATATATTTAAGTGACAAAGGTCGAAGTACCATCCGACACACGTTTACAAAAGAAAAAAACTTCTCGGACAAAAGGGGGGGGGGGGCACCCTTGGCCCACCCCTAAATCTGCCCTTGTTATGAACTTTATTATTGTATTTATTCATTGATGTTTTTTTATACAATTCTTTTCGCGAAGATGACACCTCATATACATTCTGTAATCAGTGTAGTTACAGCTGAAGGCCTATCAAAATAAAGTTGATGGAATGAATACCGTTGTATTTATAGGAATTAAAATTCCTTTGAAGGAGGTTCTTAAGGGAACCTAATTAAAAACCTACTTTGCGTGAATTGGCAATAACTACCTCAAAATACAAGAACCTTTTTTGCCAGACTTCCAAAAAAAAGGTAGGTTCTTACACGCGGGTTTTTACCGTGTCATTTTTCAGAATCTTCCGATAATTTGGGCCAACTTTCTTATCCTCAGGACGATTGAAAGTTTAAGTTTTCCACTGTGTTTTCGTTGGCGAAAAGACGATGAATTAAAAAGCGCACCTAAATCGATGTCCCTTTAAGCCGCACATACCTATATCATCAAAGTTTCCTCTTTTGTACGCTTTTGTTTCTCTCTTCCCAGGCCCCCTTCCTGACAAGTCCCCGCTGACCGTGGATACTCCGGTCGAGCCTTCAGCCCCGCCCAGACCCCTGTCAGCTGCTTCTCAGGTTCGTGTGGTTTCACCTGTTTCTGAACCAGAGCAAGAGTTTAACACCGAGGTGCCATTCGAATTCCTTTGTCCAATCACACACAAGATTATGAATGACCCCGTCACCGCTGCAGATGGTTACAACTATGAGCGAAAAGCCATACGTCGCTTGTTCCGCAGAAAGCGAACTAGTCCGATGACAAACGTGGAGTTATCGGATTTGACAGTTCAGGCTAACGATGCGCTAAGAAATCGTATTGAAACTTTTGTAAGAGAGCATTCAGAGGTGTGACCTTTCTCAAAAAAATAAAAATAACAAAGTTGCTTTAGGAGCTATCCACACTAATCTCTACACATTGAAACTTCGGTATGATTTCTGCCCGTACGATTAACACAAATTTTAACTCTTGAAGATTTGGGCTAAGTTTTGACGACAGTTTTTCTACGTTTCTTCGACTAGAGGCAGATTAGTGTGGAAATGTCCTTGGTTCACCTTGCACTAGCGGTAAAGGAACTAACTGTTTTTTGTTGTAATGCTAATACGAAGGCTTCGGACCTTATTTCCGTGTATATGATATATATATATATATATATATATATAAATACTTGTATTCTGGGTAGAACGTATTCCGTAGAGCGCTCAATTCATTTAATTGAAGAGCATTGACTATTAATAATCACAGGAGTTCAGGCTTCAGGAGTAATCATTGATCGTTTATTGCGACAGTGCTGTTTCGTATGGTCCGAAATTGTAGGACCACACTCATCAGGCAACTTCAACGATTGACCGTTAAAATTAAAAGCTGGCAGTAAATATAGGGATGCGTTAAGATATGTACTTCAGAACTCTAGAGTAACGTAACTAAGACACAATCCATCTGTTACCTAGATACTATCTCTTAACGCATCCCTATATTTACTGCCAGCTTTTAATTTTAACGGTCAATCGTTGAAGTTGCCTGATGAGTGTGGTCCTACAATTTCGGACCATACGAAACAGCACTGTCGCAATAAACGATCAATGATTACTCCTGAAGCCTGAACTCCTGTGATTATTAATATATATTGACTCAAAAACAACACTCTATTAGTTTTTCCTCACACCTAATTGTAATTAGAACCGCACTGCCCTGCTTTTTGTAATCAATAGACGCGTGTATATATATAACTTGATAGGTTTATTCTCCATTATAAAATAACTGAGATAGTACGCGTGATCTGATTGGTCAAAAACCTATGGTTTATTATACCGGTAAACCCATAGAAAAAGGCATCCGGACCACGAGCCATAAACAAAACCGGATTGATCTGCAAACAACGATTTTAGAACGGCTAAAAAACAGAACAAGTTACTTACCCAGCCCTTCTTAATATTAAAAGCGTTGGTTTCCACATTTTATTACTGAGCCTCACAATTCGCTACTGCCATAGCTTTAGAACTTATAAAGTACAAAGCTGGAAAACAGTTTACATTTCACGACGATGCCAATCGCAGAGAAAGACAACAACTGTGTGAATTTCTGGTGTAGAGAGTCTCTAGGAAAACTTAACCATTTGCCAACCAGCAACAAAACGGATAGTTTTAGCATTCTTGATTTATTTTATGTCAAAATTAAATTCCTTAATGAAAGAAATTGTTCCAAAAAGAGATCTCTGATCAAGATATGGTACAAAATCGCCCGCTGTAGGTTCAGTAAACAAGCTGCCAACGATGATGAAAGATGTCAGAGTTTCGGGCTGGTTTTTTCCAACATTTGCACAAATTATTCGGTGATATCGATGCCATAACCTACCTCAAACCACCTGACTTCACGAATCGACAAATATTAACGCCAATATGTGGCTACGGCAAAGAAACCTTTGACCACTGACATATTTCCATCGGTCGCTGTACGTGCATATAAAGTTACAAGCGACAACTTCGCAAAATGCAGCCACGTCGTTACCGCAGCATTTCTTGATCATTATAAAGTCCAGAAAACAGATCTTAAACCACTGAGGCTTGTAAAAGTGAATGAAGTCCTCCATTACAATAGCTGTCAGTTCCGTCTGTAACAATGAAATTTTACGGATCGACTCAACAAAATACAGCTGCGTACAGTCTGATGTCCAATTAATTTCTACTTCTGTAGTAAACAAACCATGAACTTATTCTTTCATTCAACGTTCGCATGAATTTGTGTTGACTTTTCCTGTCAAACAGCTTTCATAAGTTATCATGTAATGAGTGCAAAAACTCGTGTTTTGAAGTGCTGCTGTTTGTTGTTTGACTGAACTGAGTTTTCTGAGTTTTGAGAAAGGTCAACGCTATTAAATCGAGAGTTACGATTGGCTTATGATGACTTTAGAGAGAAGACGTGACTTGATCACGGTACTAAAACCATATTTTTTACCTAAAAGACTCCATTCTACTATAAGTTATTTTATAAAAGCAATAGACCACACTTTCTATGGGTTTACCGGCGTGATAAACCACTTGGGATGTTGTGAGAACACGAGAAAAGCTTGTAAATCACGAGCCGAAGGCGAGTGATTTACAAGCTTTTCGAGTGTTCTCCCAACATCCCGCGTGGGTTATCACGCCGGTAAACCCATAGAAAGTGTGGTCTATTGCTTAATTAAATACTGTCTGATGAGTGCGTGAGCACGAAACTCGGAGTAACAGAGAATTTTGTCTCTTCGTTATATCTTCTTATATATATATATATATATATATATATATATATATATATATTTTTGTCTGTGAGATGTTTTTTCCTTTTGTATTGTCTATGAAACCATAACATTGAGAATTTACCTGAACCAAATTTGTAGGCATCTTTAAGTCAGTAATTCCTCTTGAGTGATAATTACGTAGTTTGTTTTGTGCCTGTAATACCAGTTTACCTTGGTGTAATACAACGTATTTCACTTATTTTGAAAAGACGAAGGCACAAGTCCAGATTATTTTGAAATCGTTCTGCGGCTGTCTTTTGCTGAAGTCAGGTGTAGGAGAAGCATCAAATTTTGTGGAATAGTTCTTTAATCATCGGGCAAATAAGACCTGACCAGCAGATCGCGGACAATTGACGGTATATGTGTGAGTGTGTTCTGATCAAGACATTTTAATGTAAAGGTTGTGGTTCGATTTCCTCCTTGGTTTATGCTGATTTTGTATTTTTATTTTGAGAAGGGTGTGGTAATGTATGATAAAGAGTTGCAGACATAAGATACTTACCAAAATAAAACCAGGGATAAAACCGAACCACACCAACGAACAGGTTACAATGTGACAGACGGTAGGAATGTAGATGTAGATGTATTGTAAAGCGAAGTATGGCGAGAGGAATTCAAATGTATTTATCAGTTTCTTTTACAGAACCTAAAGCTTTATAACAAAATAAAGAAGTTAGCAATGGAAGAAGTAATTGTGTAGCTTCCAAAAATGGAAATAGAGAGTCCGCAGCCATCACATCGACATACATTCGTGCAAATTTACCGGAGATTATTTAGTGTGAACCCCTTTCCTTTATGCGACACTCCACTTTAGGAATCGGGCCGAATGCGCGGTTCTTTTGTGTGAACAGAAGACCTATCTCATCCGATGTGATTTTCAAGGCGGCGCAAAAGCTATGCGGTGTAGAGTGAACATAGCCCCAGATAAAGTTAGTAATTAACGGAAATCAAAGTTCTTTAATTTACGTTATTGTAGTTAATGTTATTACCTTAAATTATTTAGTGCGGCCATAAGCCACTTTTTCTTTGTTTGATACGATGTACATACAACTCTTAAAAATGAGTAGAAACAAGCAAGTTCTTTATTACTCCGATCAGTGTTTAAAATTGTAAATGTCCCAACCAGTAAATTGCTCTGAGAACTTTAAAACAATTATGTGTAGAACTTAATAAAATATTTTCATTCAACGTCACACGAGGAATCATTGTACTACAGCAGCGACGATTCTTTTTAATTGGAACAAAGATTTTTTAACAATAGAATCGAAAAATGTAGACATTAAAACTCAGTTCGGGTTTCCAAAATCAAACTTGACCCAGAATTTGAAAAAACAAATGAAGTGTTCATTAGAATTTGTCCACCTAAACGTCACTGGAAGCATTGTTAAAGCTACTGTTCCGGTAAAAACTTGTACCACAAAATTTTTCCACTGTCTTCGACAAATCGGCAATAGCTGTCTGTATTCCAGAGCGCTTTCCAGATAGGTGTGTCGTCGTAAGTGTAGAACTTTCCTAGGACTGGCTTTATCGCCTCTGTCGCTTCAGCAATGTGATAATGAGGCATGTAGGAAAAGAGATGATGTGCCACGTGACAATCTGTAAGGTGATGGAAAACATAGTTGAGTATTCCATAATCCCTGTCCACAGTACACAGCGCGCCTTTAAGCCAGGTCCACTCCTCATCGGAGTAGTGGGGGACTTTGATATCTGAGTGCTGAAGATATGTTACAATCACAAGCCACATGTTCACAAACAGTAAGGGGATTACGTACAGGCACACCAACCAACTTAGAGAGTAAACATACGCAGTGACGTAGTACAGGATACCAATCCATACCAGTAATGCCAGATCACTTAATACGACTTCCCAGAAATCCTTGGTCGAGAAAATTGGTGCGTACGGGTTGAAGTGGTTTGGGCGCATTCTGTATTCTGCGTATGGGCGACCCCGGGCGTTGAAGAATAGATAAGCCGGCCAGCCAATTGATAGGTATTTAACAAGGTGCAAAAACCGAAAGAATATATTCGGAAATTCTAAGTCATTTTCCGACTTGAGCAGGCTTCGGGTGTTCGGGACAAAAGCGTGGTCGCCGATCATTCTGTTGGTGTTTCGATGATGCTTCGAATGACTGATTCGCCATGAATGATACGGTACAAATAGTGCAGTGTGCAGCACTAAACCAATAATGTCGCAGATTCTTTTGTTGGCGCAGAAAGAGTAGTGGCCGCATTCATGCGCAATTATCCATACGGCGAAACCAGCGCAGCCTTGGCAGATCCAGTACGCCGGCCAGAAAATCGCGTGAACGTAAATTGGGCAAGAGGCGTTAAAAACCCAAAACGCCAAAGCGTACAGGAAAATTACTCCAGCGAAGTCGAGTAATAGATACAGAGTAGAAGTGAGAAGTGAGCTTTGAAAACAGTGAGGAGGGACAGCATCTTTTAAATCTTTTAGCGTGAAAGGAGGATTCTCTGTTGGAATTCGCGCGCCAGCAAAATCTTTGTGAAGATTCGAAAGTTCTTCAGTTGGCAAATTCTCCTTGGTTCGTTTCCTTGTCGAATCGGTCATCTTGAAGT